CTAGGTTAACCTGCCCAGTAGAGCTTCCCTTGACTAGACTTACTCAATACTAGTATCAGAAATTTTTATTTATTATCTCCTACCCTGCTGTCCGCAATATACCAGTGCAGACCAAGATCACTTGGCTCATCTGTGGTCTGCTCTGCCCTGTTTGAAATTTCAGTATGTTCATATTTTGAATTTTTTGCCTAAATGATGAATAATTTTCTCTAGATTAAAAGATGTACATGATCATTTTAGATATTTAGCATGGTAAGGGTCTGTCCTCTGTATTGTCCAGTTTAGCTTGTACCAAAAATGTTTTCTCTCTGTACCACGGCCTGTGCAAAATGTTTTCTCCAAATACTTCGGTCCATGCTCCATCATCTTGCAATACAGTGATTGAATATTTTTCCTTATAATTATGACTGGTACTGACCTTCAGTAACTTCCTAATTATACTTCCTTCATTATGCTGGTCACGTTTGTTTGGCAGAAGTAGTCATTTCAGGAATAATGTTCATTAGAGTACAATATTCAGTCATATAATTAATATCTCCAGAGGGATTTTATATTCAGAAGTTATGATCATGGTTGCATTCAATTAGTGTAAACTTAATGTATTTATCACAAGCTGGGTTGGAAAGCTCTCAGTTTATTAATACCACTTTAAAACAAGTTTTACATTCTTGCCTAGGACAGGACTGGTACAGTTGTCAAAATTAGAAGACTTTCAGGCTAGATGATACTACCCGTACACTGATGGCTGGAGGGGGATGGTGGGGTATTGTAATGTAAAGGGCAGAACGAGGAGCAGATTTGCTAAATAAAACAAATTATAAATTATTATTTAAAAAAAAAATTTGACTAGTTATACCAGCAAAGGGGTTTACAAACTTTACTCGTGTAAATTTAGAACTTACTTTTGTCAGCTTTTAATTTGTTATGTTGTTGTGAACATGTGGTTCAGTTAAGGTCAATATTAGTCAGTTGCATATCTCATCATTACATTAATATCATTTGTTTTTATCTGTATCCCCAATCTATTTTCATTAATACAATATAACAAGGTATTGTATTTGGAATTCTCAATATTCCTAATTACTCAATGTACCTGGGGCTTTGTTACTTACATCACCTCAAGCCATTTGTGTTTGTATATACCTGCTACATCAACTTCCTGTAGTTATAAAGCTTGCTGTGTTTTGTTGTGTTTCTCTTTTAATGGTGTGATAACTGTATTGATCATAATTGATAATGAACTTCAGTCAGATGCTTAATTCTAGACTAAATCAATTAAGAGTGCCATCGAGCTTTCGGTTTTATAATGAAATGGAATTGTCTAAATATGTCTTTGATCTTTACAGCTTGATAGATAATGAGTAGGCTGTCACTTTTCCTGGAACTGTTTATAGTTGGTTCAATATAAGCTTGCCAAACGCATTTAAACCTTGTCAATATGGATTTTGCGAACAGACTTTATTTACTTTGAATTTTATTTATAGACCTGATAATTTTGTTAATTATAGTTGATATTTAAATGAAGCCAGGTATACACTGTTTTGCTTGGTCTGTATTAGCTCAACTCCGGTGTTGAATAGCCTTCTAAACTAAAGAAAAAGATATAAATTGTTTTGTCATATTCTCAACTTTGCTATATTTATAATTAAACAACACTCGGCTTTTTCATCAATATTTCAAGCTTAACTAGTTTTTCTTTTAGTTGTAGATTAATTAAATATGCTGCATTTTAGATAACTCTATTATTTCTATTAATAGATATAATTATATAATCATTTAAAAAAAAATAATAGTTTAAATTTTGACGGCAAAATAGTATGGAAAAAAAAAAAAAATATTTCAAAGAATGCTGCAATACCATGCTATTGTAACTATTGGTTTGAAGTGCAGTCGCAACTTTTGGAGCTTAATTTTGTTTGTAGCATTTCGAATATTCCCTAGTCATGTACAAACTAATTCCAGTTTATGATTACATGAGAAATAAATCAATAGAAATGTATCTGGAGAGAAGTGGTCTGTCATAAATGCCAACAAAATTTGATGGATCTGAATTAGACTGATGTTCCAATGATGTGCATCTCTCTGTCGAAATTGTAATGTGATGGTCCTGGGACCTCTAAGCTGAAGCTATTATAGCTTTGAAAACGTATTGGTGCTAAACCATAATTGTTGAAATGTCTGGAGAATAGTACTTTAGCTCTACTCAATTACATAGCAAAATAATATCCCCTAATCCCTTATTTAAAAAAAATTTCCATTAGTATAATGAAGTTCAGGCAGAATCGAGACAAAATATGCTTCTATAAACATTTATATTAACTTCCATTTTCAAAACCTGAAGAAAAAAATCACCCAAAAATAACCTTTACAAGATAAATAGGATTTTATTAACAGCCTTAAGATAAAATAGTGACTTCTAATACAAAATGAAAATAACCTCTGCGAGATATTGGAGTTTTTTTAAACAGTCTAAATGGGGGAACTTTTAAAAGTTCTGCAGATTCAGTTCGAACTATTTCTTTTCTGAAGAGACCACCAACGAGCATGAGCTAAGGCTATGATGTTTTAGGCCCCATGTTTCACTATTGTTTACATGTTAGTGATTAAACAGTCTGCAAACAACAGTAATCTGTGAAGTTAATTAAAGGTTTTTTTCTTTTGAATAATTAAAAAGCTTAGTGACAGAGAATCCTTTTAGAATTGAAATTAATGAACATTTTCATGCTCATTAGTGCTTTACATTCTCAGTATTGACATTTCAGAAAGCACTGCCGGGGCCCCAAGTTCAGTGATGTTAACTAGGAAATGCACTCACGATTTAATTAAAAATCACTATTGTAATTCAGTATTAGTAATCAAGATTCAAGCATCCAATATCGCCATTGAACAAGTGCACGACTGAAAAGATTCAATAGAATTTGTATGAATCAACACAATGACTCAATATGACATCATTTCGTTCCTATAGCCTATAACCCGAGAATCTTGTACTCCCTTAATGGCTGATATTGGAAAATAGTTCGGCACTATGTACAATAACTGGCTGGCCCATTAATATTTTAATGCCAACTTTGCTAATTACAATATTGAATATGCTGGTAATCGCATTGAGTTCCAGTCTGAATTAACTTTGACCTTATCTTAAGGGGATATACCGTGGTGTTACGCTAGTCATTATCGATTATAACTCTGTGGACTGATATTATTTTAGCAGGATAGAATTTCATTTGAATATTGAATATTCCACAATGAATAACTCCAATGGCAAAAAAGATTGAGACTGAAGAAATCAATATTATAATCAATATAATGGAACTTGCTTCGGATTTTGTCAGAAACTTTGTAGAGAAGGGCCTGCCAATCAATAATACAATAATCAACACCCCTTGTACATGAAGTTACATAAAGAAATTAATTTTACTCAAGTTAAAATAAATATCTCTTAACATCAAACTAGATGTATCATTTAAGTTTAACTTTTACTAAGAAGTTGTTGAGACGGTTATTTTAAAGAGTTTGATATAAAATAGTTGTAACCCATATCGCATAAAATAGATACAACCATTTCGCACAGTCTTTCAATAATTTTGCATTGTTGTTGGATTTTGCAGCTTTTGTCTCAAGTAATTATGGGCGTCAACATTAGATGACTAGGAAATAGTTTTCTTCTAAGTCCTTCCATTGTTCTCTAAAAGTTAAATCTGTCTTTTTATATCAAAATCATTGTCATTTTGGTTTGGTTCAATTTCTATAATCACATTGTTTTGGTTGACTCTGTCATTCTCTTGTGTTGTAGAGCTCTCTTTGCGTATGAAAGCTTATTTTCGGTACTAATCATAATGTGCGTACATATAGTTTGTAATTTGTTTACGCCGAATTATTAGGATGATTCAAAACAGTTCTGCAAAACCACAGCCATGTTTTACAGTTTGTCATATATTTATTTAAAGATCTTAAACGTGATAGAAAGATATTAAGCGAGAAACAAATGTCTGTAAAATATTAATAAACGTTCGGTTTTTGTGGCAGGAAAAGTAAAAGACCCGATCTTGTTTTGCAAGTTAAGTAAGGGGGGAAATAACCATAAAATTCTATGATGATAATGTCTGAGTAAGTTCATGTAAAACAATGTTCTGTCTTTTATGTAATGTAGTTGTTGTCGCTATCTGTAGAAATCTATGGTACCGTTTCATCTTTAATTAACGCAATATCAATATGGTGGTGTCTGACAGTATACGTAACATCTCATCAGAGCTTATTATGGGACAAGATCTCATCAAAGATTCATATTTCCAGATGACTTTGATGTTGATTTCTGTCGGTAATTACACATTTTATTAAGATGTATCACACAAACACTGAAACTAAAAGTATGAAAAATATTAGTTTTCAGGCATATTGAGCATTTACAACTTTTCCGAGAAAAACGCGAGCTGTGTTTGGGACAATATTTCTTACTCGGCTGTCACGTTAATCGAATTTATTGTTTATGATCCTGAATTATTAATGCCATCAAACTCTTGTGTTCTCATCTCTATTGAAAGTATCAATAACAAGACCTGTATTTTTATGACATATCTCTTTTTGACATTGTCACCATCACACTAACCTTCCTGTTTCCATACAAGTATCTCGAAATATTAAAATGTGTAAGACATGTTAGAATTTCCATCCAACTAATGCAAGAACAGCTAAAAGGTATATGCATAGCTAATCTTTCACACTATCCCTAGCATCTCTAGGGGGATCTGAGTTACAAATAACGTGTGTGCGTACTTTCCTGAGGATGATTGCTTTCTTTTTCTTTTCTTTTTTCTTTTTTTTTTCCCTTTCTGGTTTTTGTTTTCTTTTATTTCCTGTTAAAAATCTAAAAATACACAAACGTAAAGAGGATGTCTTCTTGCTATGTCTTTGTGAAATAAAATTGAAAAAAAAAGATGTGATGTTTTTTTTTTCTATTGAGCATTATTTCAAAAAAGTTGATATTTCTATGATTGCAGGGTTGTCAAAAGGTGTAGGTTTTATACGCTTTGACCAGAGGATAGAGGCAGAACGAGCCATCCAAAAGCTCAATGGAACCATACCAGAGGGCGCCACTGAACCAATAACCGTCAAGTTTGCAAATTCACCAAGTTCAAATAAGAATGCATTACCAACCCTAGCTCTCGCTCCATACCTGTCACCTACACGGCGGTTCTTGGGACCAATACATCATCCGTCGTCAGGCAGATTCAGGTTAGTTTACTCCTGTTACTCTCGAAGTTTTAGCCATAAGGTCTGTGTAGCTTATACATAATTATTTTGTGCAAATTCTGATAATCACTAGTGATACTGCTTCCTGTACTGGAATCACATCTAGGAAATCTGACATGGTTGTAACTTGATTAAAGCTCAAACTCATAATCCCTCGAGTTGAGAGGCAGACACTAACCACAGAGTCTTCCTTAATTAAAAATTTAACAAGATAATGTGTCAAAAAATCTATTGATTGAATGTGCCAAGAACATGTCATACCTGCTTCCGGAGAACTTTTTTCTTCTTTAGTAAAGCATACCATTTTGATTGGCATTAATTACATGTTTGTGAAATAAAGACTTGGCAAATTACATGTTAAAGATACAAGTAACATGATTTTAGTTTAGTTCTGTATTTATGTACATTTCTTTATGTTTCTCAAATGTTAGAACACAGCTGCTAGAGGTTAATGTTATAATCATTCATTAGTTTGGTTTTTTTCTTTCGTTTTTCTTTGGGATGTATACAAACATGAAGTAATAGATTTTTGTTTGAGTAGACATTAAATTTTGTTTCATAAGCTTTTGACTACATCATACAAACTATAAATATTAAGCTACTGCACTTTTTTTGTAGACACTATTATATATGGTTCATGTCAAATAGTCATTTTTCATGCTGAGAGACATTTATCTGTTAGGCGTAAGTCTGGTTTCCTGCAAGAGCACACATTTTACCATGTAAGATATATCCCTAAATTCTCGTTTCATACACAACCTCCAATGGAAAACCTTAATTTGATCGGACAAGATAAAATTGATGTCCAAATTTCATTAATTTGTATGATTGCCTGAACATCTCTAAGGACATTTCATGTTGACTCAAAGAATAACATTATCTCGTAAGATTAGATTCCCAGATATGCCGGCTTAATTCTTTCTTTCTTTTTTTTTCTTTTTTTTTTTTTTTTTTTTTTTTTTAAAAATTCTGATGTTGCCATGTGAAAGAATTTGCTTAGAAATGGGGAAGATTGATGTAATGCCAGGAATACAGACTTTTAATTCAGAATCTTAACTCGTGGAATATTCAGAGATTTGTTAAAGGGAAGAAAAAATGTGATTATCTAAGTCTTCTTTTGGTACTATCAGGCAAAATTGGCTCTTGTATTCTTGATCAATCATGCTTGATTGGTATGTTCAATCGGAGACGGCAGTCTGACACATTGTCAGGGTAACTTAAAGACAAGTAAAGCTTCTTCATATATATATGTATAAGGCCAAATACGATATCTTGAAGAGTAAATGTCTGTCTTGAATAATGACTACACAAATTTATCTCGTACTGTCACATCATAGTGACATTAGGGTGAATAAGGCAATACTAATGATCAATAAAACATATATCTTTTTTTCTTATATTTTTATAATGGAATAATAATGATGTAATTGCCATTATATCTTTTCTTCATGACTTTTGGAGGATGTTTTTTTATGTTCTTAGAATCTATATTTTTAGAACATTAACAAGAAAAAAACATCATAAAACTAACATGATTAATGTCAACTCTTTATTCCATTATATCTTTTTAATTGACTTTTCCCGCTTGCACTTTGTAAATGTCTTATTGCTTATGTTTTCGAAGTTGTCAATTGTGTAGTCATAAATATACATGAAGAAGCATTGGTTTAATGAATTTGCCCAGTGAAAATTTAAAATGATTTCAAAATCAAAATACAAATGTAATGAGCTAACAATAGTATAGAGCTTGGTAAGATTGCAGGGATGTACAGGTTGACCTGGATGTACCGGTATATTGATGGTAGAGGCTTTTGGTTTTGCTTCCAGCAGGTAATGGATGAGAGTCTTGTGCATGTCTGAAAACTAGTGGAAAAGTCAACACATCATTTCCTTATATCTAGTACTGAAATGCTTAAATCTTGCTTGAATATATTGTTTTCTGTGCTATGAGGAAGTAAATGATCGTTCCATTTGATTATAACTTCACCGGAATCCATTAATTTGATATAATACTTGCAGAATTAATGAATGTGAATATAGCTTTAAACTTGCAGATCTTTCATAGAAAAAACGAATTATTGCGAGTGCTGGCAAGCAATTGTTGTTTGTAACAATTTCAATTAATGATTATTCCGTACACTAAGATAATAATCTGCATTTTCAAGATCTCTTGCATCAGAGGTAAGAATGAAATAAACATTCACAAGTCTAGTAAAAACAGAAGGAAAAAAAAATTGTGAGCTAACCGAATAAAAATCTGGTGCAAAAATGACATGATCATAGGGTAATGATAGAAGAATGATTGTACTTGTTTGTTTTGAGTGAATATACATGTATAATATTTCTCACTGTAATATTAAGCTATATTAATTTTAAAATAATATGTGCTCCACTGTGAAACATAAGAAAGATATTTAATTTATAGATATTATATATCCCTTATTCAGAAGCAATTTTTTTTTAAAGTCTACAATTTCATATATCTTGGTGGGATATATAGACAATATTATCACTGACAGATAAAACCCAGTATTTCATTGACAATAATACTATGTAGTGTCTAGGATTGTTTCAGCATTTATTACAATATATATTGGAACAACTGAAAAAGTTAGAGAAAATAAGCTGAATTGTTGCCTCTAAACTGTAAAAACATCCCATTACTTCCACATAAATTGTGAAGATTCCTATGGAAGATTAGATCATAACAGCAGTCACCCCCACATGCTCACATTTGCTTCCTCTTCACAAACTCTCCAGAGGAGTTTTATTAGGCTTTTTGTTGTCATGGCAACTAGCTATACTAATATCTAAATTGAGGTGATTTTTAAAAAGATTGCTTTTTATGTTATGTTATCAAAGAGCTTCACGGTTTTTTATAAGTATATAAATAATTTTGTTTTTATAGACAGGGGTTTAAGTCTGAATGTACATGTCTGTCTGGATGGGGCTTCAATGTATCTTCTCTCCCTTGTAGTTCAAATTGGTTAATGCGAATGTACCAGTGATATTAAAATTAGATAAAATTTGATTGGTATATTTTGATGTGTAAAAGTCCTAGAGGCAATTGTTATACCTGGATATCAATCTCTATTTTGGAGGTTTAAGTACTGAACTTGAGCAAAAAGGTACATATTAAGCTGTAGTACAGTGTATTTTGTTAAAATTTTTGGTTGCTTTATTAGCTAAATTATTCAAAGAGAGCTGTTGCACTCATTTTAGCATCACCATCACATTGAGATTGTGTAACATGATGGGCACAGGTTCCATAACTCTGAGTTACCTTTTTACAGAGTTATGCACCTGTTCTTACTGTCAAGCGCTGATGAAATAGTTAATCACTTTACCTTTACGGACATCTCTTGTTTTAGAAACTATTTCTTCACATTTCTTAGGGAACACTTTAAGTCCAAAAAAATCAATATTATTATCTTTTGTCTGACTATCTACTGGTATGCTAAAAAAGAATATTTAAAAAAAAAAGCTTGTAATTATGAATATCCATTTGACTGACCTCCATCCTCTGGCAATGATAATAATTAGTTGAGAATATTTGATTACTAGCTGGTATTAAGCCTGTTTTCGTAAAAAGAAAGAAACATAAAAAGTTGAAATCCTGATTTTTATTCTAAAACCTGATGCATGCTATTTATATATTGATTTAAACTTGCAAGTGATTGTGCAGTAATCAAATGGTAGGGATATATAATTTTTTTTTTCTCTCGAAATCAGTGGAGAAATGTTCATTGAAAGAAGTTCAGTCATGTAAAATATGAATCTTGCAATGATCTTTTGTCTCCTGCAGTGTCTTCACAGAAATATTCTAGTTCACTGATAAAATGTTCACAAAGATAAGGTGCTTCAAACCCAAGTGGAATGTCTTCATGTTGGAAGATTCCAAGATTGTTTTTTTCATGATCATTTTATGATTCTGTTACATTCATCCCATTAGGAGTAGGGAAACATATCTCAATTAATGACTTACTAGATAGGTTACAAGAACTTGTATATTTATTATTTTTTATAATTATATGTTTGAGTATATATAAGTTGGAAAAATTTGAGTTGTAATTCAGTCCTATGTTTGTGCTATGATGCAAAGAAAGATTTAATTATTTAAAGAAAATAACATTGCTGATGAAGGTACAGATTTTCCTGATTTTACACATTAAAGTCTTACAGTTATAACTCTCACTTTTGGTACCCTGCTATCAAGTCCATTCTTTATATTGTAGGTATTCTCCATTGGAAAGCAGTCTTCTCGGAACAAGTACTATTCTACCAACGACCCCCTCCACACAGAATACTTCGATAACAGGAGCAGGATGGTGTATATTTGTATACAACTTGGCACCCGAGACAGAAGAGAATGTCCTATGGCAGTTGTTTGGTCCATTCGGGGCTGTACAGAGCGTAAAAGTTATAAGGGACTTCCAAACACAGAAATGCAAGGGATTCGGGTTTGTGACCATGACCAACTACGATGAAGCCCTGATGGCAATACAGAGTCTAAATGGGTTCGCCCTTGGAAACAGAGTTCTTCAAGTATCGTTTAAAACAAATAAAATGAAAATGATGTAAATCTTAGGGCTTGTATCAGGTTTTTTAAACCTATCTAGTCAATTATTGTAAAAGTGATTGCTGGTTGCTATGGCGATATTGTGGCTGTTGCCATGGTTATTTCTAGTCAAAAACTTTTTTTATCATGAGTATTACTCATTGTGCATTGCATAATAATCATGATGTTATATTTTATATAACTGGAGAATCAGAACAACAGCTTTTATAAGAAACGAATCTCAGAGGTCAGTGCAATATTGAATCTCCATGGAGACAAAAGGTCAAATGTTGCCATAGCAACCAGCATTACTCCATCTTTGAAATGTGCTTCAGAATTAGAGATTAAAAAAACCAAAGCATTGAAATGTGTTACACATGGGACTGACAATAGTTGTATAGTATCAGAAAGATACACATTTATATCTGTATATTTGGAATCTTTATTTTAAACTTGCTCAGGATATGAAGTAGTTTATTAAGTTACGGAATTTTTTTTTTAAGATTATCTAGAAATCTGCTGTCAGTATACATGTGTAGTATGTTTGAAATGCACGATCAAAAGAATTCCAATACTGTAGAAATTTTTTATATGAACAAATATTTTGTTACACCAAATATGATTTGAAAATCCAAAACCATGGCAACTGTTTTTAAATTATTATTGAAGAGTATAATTATAGTCCCATTTTAAGAAAACCAGCGTGTAAAGTCTTTTGTTAGATTTTAAATTATATTTATTTAATTTTCTTAAGAGAAGAGGAAGGTTATTATTGTATGTTTAATTTTATAACCACCATTTTACTAATTTGTGTATATTGTGATTTTAGTCAAAGATTTTGTCTTCATTAATTACAAGAGCGAGGAGTTAAGCCACATATGATATGGCGGACTTAAGTTTTTGTTGTATCTTTAGTTGTGGTAGTAATATATATATTTATGGTCAGTTTGTATTTTTTCTCTTATTTATTATCAAAGTTATGATTGATTCCCAATGTATTTTTACTCACATATGATTTTTATTCAACAATGCATCTTCATTGTGTTTTTCCCATGCCATTGATTTCAGATAAAAGTGTTGGGGTTTTTCGTGTTTGATTATATATTTTTTTCCATATAAATTTCAGATAAAAAGAAAATATTGTATAAAAATCATATTGAGAATAATATTTTTGAAGATATTTTGTAAATTTTACAAAGTCTTGACTATTTAATAAAAGCTCTAGTATTTTGCATGCACTAATCAGAAACATTGGAAAATTATATATTTAAGGACATATCAAAATGAACATATTTAAAGAAAAGATGGAATTAAATGGAAATATATATGTATTTATATATCCCTCGGTTGGTTGCCTAAATGTTTAGAATGGAATTTATTTCACATTGGTTGTTTCTATATATATATATTTACCAGCTACAATTTTAGATAATTTTGTTTGATTTATGTTAGTTAGTGTTTTGTTGCTTTTTTTTGTTGGATTTTAAGGCAATTTGTGTGCTTATTTAAATTAATTGTTTAAGTGACGGAGAATATGTTCTCGTCTACTGTCAGCCATGATTTTTACACGTCTATAAGTGAGATGTATCGTCATAGCAACAAAAACATTGATCGCCTCTCCTGAGTTGAGAGATTAATTGTTTGATAGATTCATTAGGGAAGGAAATTTCTCGGAAATTGATAACATTACATGTGATCTGGTAACAAAATATTCTAGTGTATAAATATTTACCCATACAACAATGGTTCAAATGAAATTATTTTTTTTCACATGTACATGAATGCTCAAACTTATCCGATTTTTTTTAATTTTAATAGTGAAAAGTTCAAAAGTAATTGTCATATTTTATACCAAAAAAAAGTTCAAATAATTTATGATGTTTTTTTTTGTTGTTCTGTATGTATTCAAAATGTTTCCTGTAATGGCTGCTATTAAATGTTTATATAAGGTAGAATAATATCTTATAGGCATGTACTTGCTTAGGTTTTGTAAAGTCTTTTGAAAGCATAATGTGTAAGAACTTAACATAATTAACTAACAAATACTTTTATCATACTGCATATCACTGAAAAAGTTCTTTCGATTTTAAAGTTAGCAATATCATTTGCCATTTTATATATATATATATATATATATATATCAGTTTTTTTTAGTTTGATGTAAACTTATTCAATATCAGCATGATAAAAAACTTTTTTAAGAAACTGTCTCAGAAATTTTACTATGCTCATGATGATTTTTTGTTTATTTGTATTTTTTCCCCTTTTATTTTATCTTTTTATTCATGCATTTGCATCAGTGTTGTACTTATTTTATTTTCTGCTCTCTTATTTTTTGTGTAAATGTTGGTCAGCAAATGATCATAACTTTGGTTGTCCTTAGTTCAGAATGAATATTTAACCTCTAAGTTTCTAAACAAAATCATTATTGTGCTCTTATGTTTAATTAAATGTGAATTTATAATTTTTCTTCTTTTTATTTTTTCATTATTGCATGAAGTATATTTTTTCTTTCTCTCTCTCTACTAAAGTTTAGGCAATCACCTGTCTTGATTTGAAGAAATATTTAATTAATATATTATTAACATGATTATGGGATGAAATATGTCCGACTAAGAACAAATTATGATATTATGATCATTATAGATATGAAATTTAAAAAAAAAAAATGGTATGAAATATCAACCAAAAAAAAGACAATGTTTACATTTGTATTTGCTTCATGTAAAGTCCAAGTTATTAGCCTTTGGAAAGAACAGTAATTATCATGAAATGAAATTACTGATACTTTTTTAATTAAAATCAACTTATAAAATGATAATTTAACAAACAAAAATCAAGTTTGTCAGATGTTAATATTGAACAGGTATTTTTAAACAAAAACCAAAAAAAATGCCTGTTGCATTCTACAGATATAGCCCAATATTTTGTAATAAAATTATAATTTCATTATACCAGCATAAATACTGCGTAACCATAACAACCAAATCTGTCTCTACAGAAATTAGTTGCTCATTATGATCATTCCTAGAAGTGTCTCATGTATGCGTTACATCAAACTTTCATTCTGTCATAAAAATTTTCTTATTATTATTAATTATTATTATTATTTACGTTGTAATTGGTTTCAAGCTGGGAGAGGACTTTTAAAAATGCCTATGGTTATATCTAAATCAAAGATCGTTTTTATTCTGTATTCTTTAAAATTATCAGAGTAACAGATAAATGTTAACTCTTGTTGTTCAGGTTGAAGTTATTATAAGATTTTAGAATTTTATAAACATTTCTTTTATTCAAGCCTCGGCAAGAGCTTGATCACCTGCATTTTGTTCACAATTAAAGCACATGGATGCAGCACTGGTAATATTTATATATTATTGTGCTGTTTTTATTATTATTACTATTATTATTATTGAAATAATTGAGAAATCTGCTGACTTTATTCGTGTCCGTACACCACAGTTGATAAATGTTTTTTTAAACATTTTTTTGCTTACTCATTTATGTGTAGGAATAAATATGATAAATCATTTGGCAACAAAGTTCTTCCAAGCGAAATTTTGATATTTAACGTGTATTTTAGAAGTTGTTAGATGTTTTTATGCTGTAAAAATGTTTTTAATGCATTGATCAGTTTAGATTCACATGAAATGTGACTGTTACCTTGTTATAGTAGAAATTTTGAAAAATTCATTTTTTTTTTTTAAACCAGTCTATGAGTTATTTTTAGAAAAATTTCTGTGGAACACAGAGAAAGTTGTGTCACTGTCAGGCTTCGTTGTTTAGAAGGCTGTGATTTGTGATTGTTAAAACTTCTCATTTTACTATGTACATTCCTATGGGCCAAATTGTTTTTATGAAATTTTGACCGTATTTATATAAATGAAAACTTGGTGACTAAAGTGTGTGATTTTTCTGTGTCAGAATTTTCAATACTGTACAGGATATTTCATTGACCTGCATTTTCTTGTTACGTTATGTGTATCATCATGTGTCTTCAGATACTGCAGTGAAAATGTTTTACCCTTACATGCCAAGTCATATTTTCAATGACTAGCACTGTTTATTGAACAATTCCCCCCCATTAACTGTGGCATAGCATGTAGGAAAAAAAAAATTATAAAAAAAACCAACACATTCTCTTTGAGTCATTGCTAGACTGGGGAAATTAATGGTGATTCACCATGGAAATCTAGGAACTAAAATCCCTTTTGAAGTGAGGTCATGCTTCAATTATAAACTCAGAAAATCAGGAATTGTAAATGAAGGTCAAACATGCAAACATTAAGCACGTGAAACTTGGTCATCTACTGCTGACAGTATGCATGTCACTTTACATTATTATCTTCCTATTATGTCAAAGACATTAGGGGTAATCATTTAACCATACCATTAGGCATGCCAAAAAAATCTTAAATGAAACTTAAAGGAAATTTGAAACTTTCAAATATGTAAATTAAGGAAGGCGGAACATTAGTCAGTCTACAAAGCAATACAAGATTGTATGTTGTGTTGAAAGCAATTTTTTGGTCCTATGAATAGTTGTAAATAGTTGATTGTTTGTTTTCTTTGGATACTCGAAGGTATTCCTGTGGCAGAGTTTTAGTAATGAATGCTTCAATCTTTAATCAGGACTAATTATATATTATTATGTCAGAGATAAAATAAAAATATACATAACTTAAATGATAAATAATACATGTATAATGTCATATATACAAACACTGTTATATTTGAAGTTTTACATTTTACATCATTGTTATTTACAGTGTACCATTTTTTTTCTAGGGTTTTTATACTATTTCGAAAAAACATATGCAATTTTGTAGAAAAAATTTCTGTTACTTTTACAAGAATTTTTCTCTTGGAAAAAGTATGGAGGTGAACACCTTTGACTTTATAGTGTGGGTGTCTTTGTCTCCATATAAAGCTTAGAACTAACCTCTCAAACTTTTTGTAGAGGTTTTTTATAGACTTCGTCAAGAGAAGGGAAACAAGTAGAGTTAATGCTAAGCTCTTTTTTCAAGAGAATCGATGATTATTGCGGACTATGTACTTTATAATTGAGTCCAGATCTACCACCGCCCATATACCTCGAATACCCCCCTCGCTGCTGGCTCAATTTGTATGTGTTACAGCAATAGTTCTCTGACCATTTTTTTTCTCAATTCCATTTTCATTCTGAATGGTAGCATTGGACAACACCAAAATTCTATTAAAAAGGCAGTCCCTCTTTTCTCGTGTAATTGACATTGTATTTGCATATTTCAAGGTGACAAGAGTTCTTGTATATAATCACATGGACATGACTGGAATGTTGTCTTCTGTAGAGCACTTTTTCATTGAACAGCTGATGAAAAGTGATTGATAATCTTGTACAAGATCTTGTAGGAGGAACGCTAGAAAAAAAAAAAACGATTCCAAATTGATTGTGTTGCCTTGAAAACTGTTGTTAGGGAGAATGAGATTGGTGTTGTGTAGAAAGATAGTCGCCAGTTCAGGTTCTAAAATCATGACTTAATATTTTCATTAGAATCATAATACAATTTTTTATAGATCGAAAAAACATCAAGTCACAATTTTCATTGATTATAAAGCAATAATAAATTTTTTACGTGTTAAAGATATATGTACTGTGGACAACTAAAAGTTATGATTGTTTGAGTATTTGTAACTTGATCGTAATGATGGTATTAATTTTAACCCATGTTACCAAAATAATTGTTACAGTCAACGAATATACAAGTATTTCATCAAGTATGTCCTTATTAAATCTATGCATATTTGCTAAATATATACCTAGATTTATTTTTAACTTTCTAGTTAGCATTACGATTTGTAACATCTTTTTATTGATATATATACAGTGTAGTAGATGATGATTTTATTTATAGCCCGGTTAATTTCGTGCCATTGTTACGATCAGAAAATATAGTCCCTTAGCAATATGTTCAGTCGACTAATGTCTTCATTGTTGATATAAAAGTCTTCAAACCTCTGATTTTTAATCTTTGATTATATACTGTTTTTGAAGTTTGTAATTGTACGAGTTAAATATATAACCTTTCATTTTGTGAGTTTAGATTGTTCATGTTTCTTGTTTGAATTTTAAATATTATTAATAGTCTTCAATTTTCAGTCTTGATTCATTCCAATTATCGGACACAGTCTAGGTTGAGTTGGAAAGATCGCCTAATTATTAGTGTTTAGTAGTTAAGAAAACAAATAGAAAACAATAGTTAAACAAGGCAGTATCACCACCCACTTGGATTAAACTCATTTTGAGTAAAAAATATAGCTTCAAAATTGATTTAGCTTCAGATGGAAACAAGAACCTTTGAAAATTAAGGAAATTAATGGCAAATGTTCATTGTAATGCTAGGGTTCACAGATTTTTTTTCAGTGATTGAGAGTGAAGACTGTGTCCAACTTGTTTGTTTTTTGCAATTATTTAGCTCTGCTTTCAATTGTATGCTTTTAATATTTGCTTTATTGTTTATCTCCTATTATTCTAGCCTACCTGGTAAGGTAGATATCCAATCTGGGACTGATTACAACATTATTATTTAGCAGGTTTACCTCCCTTTATTGAATTAACATCATTTGCAACTTAAATTATATAATGTAATTATAAACCTTAAATATATTTCCCATAATACTTGCTAAATGTAAATTTTCTATAGCGTTGTCTGCCAATGCAAAAAAGAAAGAATGCTCATGGGAATTGCATCATTATGCAAAATATAACTGCGGCATCAAAACTACAGTTTTGTAGTACAATTTTAATATCGTAAACTTGATTTTATGGCTGTCCGTAGGGGAAATCGTGGGAGAGGTGGTGTTTTCAGTCCCAGATATTCTAATATTATTATGTAGTTTGTTTGTTTGAATTGTTTTGTGAAGTTGCAGTTACATATCTGATACAGAATAGAGTTGGGGCATTTACAAACAACAACAAAAAACCTGCTTCACCCTTTCTTATTTTTTTCTTGGCCCTAAGAATAATGAATCAAATGAATTGATTTTAAAAGAGATTTGGTTTTTTGTTGAATAATTTTAGTGTTAAATTCATTTACTGATTAACAATATGGTTAGAAAAACAGCTCTTAATGCCATAAAAACAGGGTCATAATTTGGTTTCCAAATTTTTACTTTCTTTTTGTCATTCATTTAGAAAATTTAGTCTGTTTATTCTTATAATATTTGTTTGATCAAGACTCGCATAATTTTATTGAAAAGTGTTGAAAATATAAAAGAAAAGTGATGGGGAATAGATTGAGATCAGACTATTACATGATTTGATTAATGAATAAATTCACAGATCAATAATGGATTATTGATTTGAACTATCTAACATCAGCAGTAAATGTGGGACTTTTAATCTTGATTCAAAAACAGGAAATAGATGAGTTATGTTTGAGTATTCCCCCTAATAAATTTCAAGAAGACCTTTAATCATGTGAGCCGCGTCACGACAAAACCAACATAATGAGTTTGCGACCAGCATTGATCCAGACCAGCCTGCTCATCGGCGCAGTCTGATCAGGATCCATGCTGTTCGCTATCAGCTTCTCTACTTGTTATAGACTTTGTAAGCGCACAGCATGGGTCCTGATCAGACTGCGGGGATGCGCAGGCTGGTCTGGATCCATGCTGGTCGCAAACGCACTATGTTGGTTTTGTCATGACGCGGCTCATGTAACATCAATATAGATAAAACTTGCCTGTTTTAAGTAAAGAATTGTAGCCCCCGTTAAGTAGGAGCTAAGCTAAGTATCTATGTAAAACTCTTGTTAATCTCTGCTGGACGTTGTAACATACATAGTTCTCAACTCTTGTAAGCTGTATTTGTATTTTTACATGTCTACATACATTTAATAAAAACGTATAAATTACTTTGATGTGTCATTCTTTATATTTCTTTCCAGTTAAGTTATCAAAGTTTGTACAAAATGTTCACCATGCATTCTAGACTCAATGTGTTTCTGCTGCAAATTTCTAGAAGCCCAAGCTTTGTAGTAAGTTCAAAATTCTAAGTGGCTGAGAGTGAAAATAAGACAAAGTCTGAAGAATGCCTTGGTGTTATAGATGCCTTACACTAGCTTACCAGAAACAATAGCTCATTGGGAGCTATTTAGATCAAGAAAAATGGTGAACATGTCTAAGGTTTTCACTAGAATGAAATATATGTTTACAAGTATATATGTGATATTGATCACTTGAAACCTGAATTTTGTTGCTTTAACAAACTTGTAACATTTTTGTATGATTCTTTTAGATTTGCCACCATCTCTTCGAATTATAGGAAAACTTTTTGATAAAAAAATGCTGGTTCATCACCAAATTTGAATTACTCTTAATTTATAATAATGTAATGTCCTGTATAATATACAGGACTGTATTAAAAAAAAATATTGTCTTTTTTGAAAAGGGTCTGCCTAAAAAGCAACTACCTCATTTAGTATAGTTGATCGATAACAAAACGGAATGATATATTAACAGTGTTACTTGTACATGTATGTATTAATATAGCGCGTTTGATCAAATGAGCCACCAGTTAGTTGAATACTTTCTTTAAATGGAAATGGGCAGAATTTATACTTTTGTATTACAAATTTTCGGAGGTATTTTATAAATAAACATTTATAAGTGTTTAAATGGATGTGACATAAAAGGAGAATGTACGTTACTGTTACATCATGTCCACGTGACTTGGTCTAGAGAAAGGTCACATCTACATGTATGTCAGTACACGCGGGTACCCTGTATAGGAACAATTCTTGACCCCAAACTATAAACTATTGCCTTCTTTTATTTTGACATATCGTACCAGGCTAAATATCTTAAATGGACTCGTCCGTCTTTTAATCTGGACAAAACCACTCCTTATTTATAGGGAAATTTCAAAATATATTCTAATTGAACAGTTAACGGACGTTCCGGTTGATATTGGTCTTCACTGGTCACATGGGTAGAATTTAACGCCACCAGCAGTAAGAATGGACTGTTCCAATTCAAAATAGGACGAATTTAAAAGCCCTTAAGGACGAATGCATTACATAACTCTAAAGTCAGACATAAATATTTTTTTTATTTTCACTACCAGCATTAATTTTGTCTATACTTTATTTTTCTGGCGATATTGTCGTAATATATACCATGCCGACTCTTTTTACGACATAAAAGGAAAATTTGTATCACTTTTAAAAATAAGTTACACTTTAGGCCTACGTACCTGCAGGTCTGGAATAAATGCACAAGCGTCTCGTGTTGTTGGCAAGGAGCGGGTTGTATTTGTTTAAGAAATAACAAAAAGTCTGGATTAAGTAAATTTACATGAAAAGAAAATCGACATGTTTGCCTAAAGCTGGAGCTGTTTTGTACGTTAATGTAGTGGAACTGGGGAATAAGTCTTTCAACTTTCAAAAGTCAATATCTCAACCGAACATTAACTGCGTGCATAACAAAAAAAACGTTCAGGGGTTAAGCCAATATGCTTACAGGGAATGGCTTATTTCGTATATTACACGCAAACAGAGGTGTAACTGGGTAAATACGTGTTATTTTGCCCAAAACATCCATAAAAGGGAATATGACCGAGTATAAAATTTCCCGTAATGATGATTGATTCGGTAATAGAGGTCTGGGAATAGATGGTGGCATCAAACATCAAGAAAACTAACTAGATGCTTTAATTACGAATCAATTGTTTCAATTGGCCATTGCATGTTACTGGCAAATAACGCAAATGAAAAAATAAGTACCCCGGGAGTATAAGACATTGTTTATTCTGTAATCAACCCGGAATATTGTTAACTATTCATTAGGTGTCATTATTTCCTTCGTTTGCAACCTATTGTTATTTTTATCGTCCATTTCTTTAGTGTGTGACTGCAATTTCTGACTTTCGTTATGGCATTTTAATCACCGATCGATTTGTAAAGGAAACAGTACGCTCCAAAGGAATATGTTCTAATTTTCCTCGTGCTGAAAGAAAAATGGATTACATGTACATTAAACTGTTATCACCACATTCTGAATAATCTCATTATTCCAGCGTAAAACATCGCATTGTATGCATGTAATTATTAATTTATTTCGCTTTTCTTGACTACTGTAAAGGCCTTGTAAATAATTCAAGCCGGCTTCCAGTTTTAAGGTATGTCTCATTGACTTATTTAAGTTACACTAAATACTATCCAATCTGTGTTACAAAATCGCCTTTGAACAACGACCACATATACTGAAACTTGTTATTAAAGGCCATCACTTAGGTCTGTAAATTGAACCACTATACCTTATTTAAACATATTCATTTTAGACCCATTTGTGTTCTCACCAGGGACTTTGAATTCTTTTATGTGAGAAAGCTATTCAGCTAGCTTACGGAACGTCGATGGTTGTACTCAGATGCCCGTCGTTTGTCCTGAAATATTGCATGGAAGGGCACCTGAGGGCTTCCTCCACCCGGAAAGCTGGAAAGTCGTCATATGACCTATACTGTGTTGGTGCGACGTTAAACGATAGAAGCTTGAAACTTTATTTGAACCACTCTCAATTCCCCGTTTTGGAAATGGAACAGATCAGCACTTGTCCCAGTAGATATCGAACCGACGACTCCCGACAGTAGAAACAGACTCCTTAACTACACTAGGCCATCTTTCCCCTTACTTGTACTAAGAATTGTATTTGTACTAAGAATACCACCTACCAACATTACATCGCGTTCCTTGTATTAAAAAGAATGGGTCGACTGTTATAATCATTTAATGCAGTTTTGTTTGGTGTATTTTAATTTTTCTTCTTTTATTCCGTCTGGAATATCTATGTTTTCATGATAAAATAAGTTTCGAAATTATTGTACTTGTATGTAAAATAACTATCATAATCAATTATCTGATTTTCATGTACGAGAACAATAGAAGATATAATATTGTTAGCTAAGTCAAAAACTGTTTAAATAACAACAAAGTTAATTCCACAATTTCTTTATTCAACTCTGAAGAGCAATTAATTTGCTAGATTCAACAATAGAAGTTTCCATGAAAATATTACAAAATGCTCTTGTCTCCAGTTTTCACGATTGTCGGGATTTAAAGCCGAAATGCAAACTGAACACAGCCTGGCATGGCTACTTAAACAGACTCTGAAATGGCCAGGACTGTCACAATTTACTAAATATATATCTATCAATTTTTTGTGGGAAATGAAGGAAACTGAATTAAAAGCATATACCAATATCAAAACATGTTTCAAATGAAAAATACTGCAGTACATGGTTTTGAGAGGTAGGAGGGTTGTAAGGAGGGGTGGGGCCCGGGGGTAGTGACCAATCAACACGCCGAACACCTATGCTTGCAGCACTTGTATACCCAATGAAAATCAACCTACAAACATGCAGTATTATAAAATAAATAATTATGTTGACTTTGAACTTTCGTTTTTATTGTTGCTGTTTTCTTTTACGCCTATTAAAGTATAATTGTAGGGACTGTTGCAACATTTTTAAATTTCGTTTTGAATTAAAAAAGACTTTTTAGATATTCAAGTAATAATTGAACTTTTAATACATAAATAAATCTATTTCAAAAACCTCACAATTTTGTTATTAAGATGTCGGCTATTTGCGAGATAATTTACTTTCTTTTAATTTTACGCTTAACGATCACATGCTATTTAGAACAAAATATTGCAAACATTCAATTTATTTTGACGCATTGCGTTTCTGAATTAATGTGAAGCTATTTTCACGCATGCACCGCATTAAAGAAAATATCCAAAAGGAAAATAATTTTACTGCAAGGATATAAATATCGGCTGTCCGACATTGCGTCTCTGATATTCTTGAAAAAAAACACCATCCTGTACATACAGTCCCAACTTTCTTTTGAACGTTCGGATCGATTGTATTCTGGCACTGGAATCTTTATAGAATATAGGCGTATTTAATATCTAGTTGGAAGTTTAGATTGAGGGTCCCAAGTACCAATTTCCATCGATTTTTCTCGAAATAACGACCCCATTCTTCTGCTCTAATGGAGCAATTGTTTGCAAGAATCGATCTTCTAGAGGAAATCGTTCACCGGCTTGCGTCATTACACTCCAAATAAATTGTTTATACAGAATAAAGCTCCCAACCCAAGTCTAGCGTTATTTTAAGATGACTGATGTTATGTTATGTTATATGTATATAACAGTCTCAACTGAAAATAATAAATAAATGATTTACAAGAACAAGAGGGCTTTATTTACTCAGATTTTTTGATATTTATAAATCAGATTAACTACATACGTTTATTCTCTACCAATTCCAGCCAAGTGATTTATACAAATGTATTATAATTAACAAACCTTTTTGAGAATGGATATCGTTACAAATTTGCTTTGCCAGAAAGAGGAGAGAGGAAATAAAATGGTCAGCGCTGGCAGTCTAAATGACCGTGTTTCTTATTACAGTATTATTTATAGCACAGTTTATATGAAAGATATATGAAAGAAATTGATATTTTCATATCAAAACTAAAAATATATGTCCCTTGTGAAAATTGCAAAAAGTGTTTAGGGTGAAAATATAGATTCTAAATATCCTTTCACATAGACCATGGAACAGAACACCTCAAGGATGTTTATAACATATTGACTTAAAAAAACAACATCCGTTTCCTTATTTTTGTCAAGTATTCCTTGGTGGAATTTGAATAAATTTACTCTTGATAAACTATTCCCGTTGTTGTTTTTTGTCCTTGATATAGCTTTTTTTCAGAGTTTTCAGTGAGTGCGAATAGCAGGTAATGTTTTTTAAAATTCTATTTGCATTGAGAATGGTCTAAGGGAAATAAATCAAACTATCTATCCCCAGACTCGATACGAGGTTAAGTCCCTTGTTTATATAAATTTCGAAATTGCATGGAGGTAAATTATCACCACTTTGTGCTTCAAAATTAACTCTTTAAGGGCATGACTGGTGACATGTCCGGGGTCCGTACTCGACAGCGAAAGCTGAAAGGGCGGATGGACCCTCATTAAGCATTAACTTCACACACACTTGCCAAATATACATAAATTGGACAGAGCTAATAACAACTGGAACAAAAACATGTTTTTATACTGATGGTTATGGATGGTCAATGATTTTACATGCTTGGTTATGGATGGTAAGTGGTTTCATACAGGTGGTTATCCGTGTAGTCTGGTTCCCTGCCTACATTTACTACGGAATATAGTATAAGGGGAAGGAACTCCAGACGATTTATCCATGGTAAGTGGTTTACATGGGTGGTTACTGCTGGTAAGTGGTTTAACACGTTTGGTTATGGATGTTAAGTGGTTTACACGAGTGGTTATGGCTGGTAAGTGGTTAATACGTTTGGTTATGGATGGTAAGTGGTTTACACGAGTGGTTATGGCTGGTAAGTGGTTTATACGTTTGGTTATGGATGGTAAGTGGTTTCACACACGTGGTTATTCGTGTAGTCTGGTTCCCTGCCTACAATTACTACGGACAATAGTTAAGGAGAAGGAACTCCAGACTAGTTATCCATGGTAAGTGGTTTACATGTGGGTGGTTATTGCTGGTAAGTGGTTTTATATGGTTTGTTATGGATGGTAAGTGGTTTTACACGGTTGGTTATGGACGATGAGTGGTTTTACACGAGTGGTTATGGTTGGTAAGTGTTTAACACGTTTGGTTATGGATGTTAAGTGGTTTACACGAGTGGTTATGGCTAGTAAGTGGTTTATACGTTCGGTTATGGATGGTAAGTGGTTTACACGGGTGGTTATGGGTGGTGATGGTAAGTGGTTTTACATGGTTGGTTATGGATGGTAAGTGGTTTACACGGTTGGTTATGGACGATGAGTGGTTTTACACGAGTGGTTATGGTTGGTAAGTGTTTAACACGTACGGTTATGGATGTTAAGTGGTTTACACGAGTGGTTATGGCTGGTAAGTGGTTTACACGTTTGGTTATGGATGGTAAGTGGTTTACACGAGTGGTTTTGGATGCTGATGGTAAGTGATTTTACACGAGTGGTTATGAGTGGTTTGTGGTTTTACACGCGCCTGAAATAAATTATCGTTTGCGAAACCTTTTGCATAATTAATGTAACCGATTTCCCTGTGCTATGTTATACACTATGCTATGATATGGTATTTCATATGCTGTGCTCTGGGCTATGTTATTATGTGCTATGCCAGTTGTGCTGTGCAGTGCTGTGCTGTGCTGTGCAGTGCAGAGCTGTGCTGTGCTGTGCTTTACTTTGCTATGCTTTTCTATGACATGTATGCTATGCTATGCTCAAATGTAAACTAAAATACATAGCTAGGTTCTTTTTTGTTCAAATTTAAGTTTTGTCAACAACTGGCATAATTTCAAGAGGACGGTAATTGAACGGTTACAATGAATTTTGTATTGATTTACGATAATTGCGTTATGGGGTCTATTCTTTTAAAAGTTTTGGATAGCCTATCAATGATAAGGTTTTTTAAACTTCCTAATCGCTGAATATATATCGTCACTTAAATAGTGCAGTAAGTGGTTAACTCCTATGAAATTGAGGAGGATTTAACCAATTACTACACTAAGGTGACAATATATGTTAATCTTATTTGATCATCTTCAAACACATCTACCCCTCTTATCGCTCAGTTTAACGGAATTGGAATTTAAATGTATGTTTTTCAATTTCAAATTTTTGAATAAAATGTCGACGTGAAAATCGTGTATTGACTATAATTATGTTTACAAATATAACGTTATTAGGATAAACTTTGCATAAATATTTGTGGACTATTAAACGTAATAGGTGTAATTAAAGTACAGATCTTTAAAAAAGGTTTGTAAAGTTTTGTATTTTTTGTAGCAAAATATGTGATAAGACTTATTTTAATACTATAACGGCATATATTGTTGTGTTTATTTCTGACATACTAATGTTTGTATATATTCTTACCTTTTATTACTAAGTAGAAGAACATCAAAATGTCGCAAAAGCTCTAATGCATTAAACATCTTCGTTTTTAGCTCGACTATTCGAAGAATATGAGAGCTATTGTAGTCGCCCTAGCGTCGGCGTCGGCGTCAGCGTCCGCTGGTTAAAGTTTTTTGTAAATTCAAATATCTCAATTTTTACTTGAGATATTTAATTGAAACTTACAATACTTATTTATAGTAACAATGTACATCAGATTGACAAGTTGGATAACTCTGCCTACAATATTGACAGAATAATGCCCCCTTTTAACTTAAAAATTTTGGTTAATTTTTTTTGTAAATTCAAATATCTCAATTATTGCTTGAAACTTACAATACTTATTTATAGTAACAATGTACATCAGATTGACAAGTTGGACAATTCTGCCTATAATATTTACAGAATAATGCCCCTTTATAACTTAGAAATTTTGGTTAAGTTTTTTTTTTGTAAAGTCAAATATCTCAATTATTGCTTGAGATATTCAATTGAAATTCACAATACTTTTTTATAGTAACAATGTACATCAGTTTGCAAAATTGCATAACTCTGCCTGCAATATTTGCAGAATTATTTGCCCCTTTGAAACTTAGAAATTTTGGTTAAAGGTTAAAGGTCTTCAAAGATATTTACTTGAAACTTTACACATGTACTTAGGGTCATAATTGGAGAGTCATAATTGTATGTTACTGACCAAGTTCCATAACTCTACTCGCATTGTAGTCGCCCCAACGTCCGCGTCGGCGTTTGTTAAAGTTTTTTGTAAATTCAAATATCTCAATTATTGCTTGAGATGTTCAATTGAAACTTACAATACTTATTTATAGTAACAACGTACATCAGATTGACAAGTTGGATAACTCTGCCTATAATATTGACAGAATTATGCCCCTTTATAACTTAGAAATTTTGGTTAAAGTTTTTTTTTTGTAAAGTCAAATATCTCAATTATTGCTTGAGATATTCAATTGAAATTTACAATACTTTTTTATAGTAACAATGTACATCAGTTTGCAAAATTGCATAACTTTGCCTGCATTATTTGCAGAATTATTTTCCCCTTTGAAACTTAGAAATTTTGGTTAAAGGTTAAAGGTCTTCAAAGATATTTACTTGAAACTTTACACATGTACTTAGGGTCATAATTGGAGAGTCATAATTGTATGTTACTGACCAAGTTCCATAACTCTACTCGCATTTAGGCTGATTCATCTCCCCTTTTCTACTTAGTCTCTTGGTAAATGTTTACATGAAAGTATTACATATCTCAATAACTATTAAAGATATTTATTTAAAACTTCACATATGCATTTAGAATTCATAATAATAAAGCTGTGATTTACTTGATAAAACATCTTTATAACAAGCCTTTGTACCTTTTCTGTCAATTTTATGTATTCATAGGTAACTTGCATTATTGTACTCAATAAAAGACCCTTGTAACAACATTTTGAATAGTCGAGCCAATACTGTCCTCCGACAGTTCTTGTTTATTTTTCGAGACATAATTAAATATATGTGTGGCGGCAAGGCCGAGTGGTTAACGCGTCGGACTAGAAATCTAATGATCGCTAGCCGCACGGGTTCAATCCCGGTCAGGGGCAAGTCGTTGTTTCCATAAGCAAGAATCTTTACACCCATTGCTCATTGCTGGTTAATTGTTTCCAGGAACGGATTTGAATGTGTCCATAAGCTTAAAGCTTCCGTAACAACCAAACTTAAATCAATTCTGTATTTATAAATCAAATACAAATGTATATGTAATGAAGCAATTCTGTGACTGATTTAGCAAAAAAAAATATTTAATCTGTTTCTAGGAACACATCGCATGATATCCTGTTTTTACGCTTTCTACTCTTTTTATTTGAATGTGGAGGTTGTTTTTTCATAATTTTCTCTTTTTACATTTACATGACACAGAACATGAGTAGGCTGCATTCGTACAGTGAACAAGACGTGAATTTCTATTACATAGATGAAAATGCAAAGAAGGTAACGAGTTTCGTAAGATTTCGGTTACTTCCCTTATCTGAGAATTATAAAGGGAGGTCACTTTGATACAGTGCACTTCAAGTACACGTGCAAACTCCTCGCAGCGGTTACTTCCCCTGATCTGTACAGTAACAAAGCGTGACGTAACCGCTGTGAGGAGTTTGGTACACGTGTTGTAGTTTAAATAGAGAACCTCAATCTTTGCAGTTAGGCCAACATTTTTTTATAAAATGTTTTACGGGACCGCCGACCGTATTTTTAGAGAAAATCAAATTAAAATAAAAGTTAATTTAAGAAATTTTATTTTCATTTTGTCCGCCGACCTCTCTTACCCACTTCTGTCAAAATTAAAAGTTACTCGGTATGGTACAAGGTTTTTATTTCAGTTGTTAACGATACTTTTATTTAAATGTAGATTCTTGGTAAAGCAAAGAAACTTGCTTAACACAAATGACAAGTTAGGCCCTTTGATGTTTACAAGAATGTTACAATAGGCGTAACAAAAGGGAAGGGCAATAACTTAACAAGTTTGTAATAAATTAACCCGTGTGAATATCACGCGACACCGGGTCATGAAAGTTCGCTTTTTTGGAAACAACTATGGCAATTTGAGTAATAAGTATTAGAGCATTTTATCAAACATGATAGCCTGCAAAGCTGTTAGAAAGCCCGATTGGTAATGAACATCTATTGCATAAGTTGATTTGAATCATCTTCACTTTCAGAACAGTTGTAAAAAAATAAATGGGCACGGGATCAAAGCCGTTGATCGACTAAGGTGTCAGAATGAAATATTACTCGATTTACCACGAACGGAAACTTCGACATATTAAAATTTAGACTCATGTACAGTATAGGTTTTTATAAAAAATATAAGGGGAAAATCTGGACTTGCATTTTACTTTGACATATCGAGAAAATTGAGTAATCGAAATTCAACTCGTAACGTAAAGTGCCCTATACTCGTCACTTTTGAATACTTTACGCGCCACCACAACGAAATATATTAATGCACTGGTTCCTTGTTGTCATCAAATCCAACTTGAATCTTTTCTGGCCATTTTAATATAAAATTAACGCATGCTGTATAAATAACATTTATGATACAAGACGGGAAACCAGACAGGTGTCTCACTGACGACCATAGGACAAATGCACCCTTAAGTCGTCAACACATGAAGCAAAATGTCGTCAATGGGGACCTAAAGTCGTCAAATTTTCTGGTGTTTTAAAAACAATCTTGTTAACATGAAGAACTGATTAAATCTTTAAAAAAATTATTGAATCTAAAACCAGAAAAATGCCATTTATTGCAAATTACTCTGACAATATCAAAGAAAATTTTAAAGCTTAACAATGATATGTACGTAGTTTGATATAAAAAAAATACTATTGAAATGTTGTTATATATATTTAAATGTTATACAGCCAGCAAAATATAGTGAACACAAATAATATGAAATGCTTTTAAAGAACAAATTTACATGTAACGAAAAACTAGCATGAACACGAAGAGCCATGACCTTGACATTTTAAGTTGAACGTTTTGAAGGCAATTCCATTACTTTTGCGTATATTATGCTGTGCTTATTTACCATTTGTGTTATTCACTCAATATCTGTTTTAAGTATTTCAAAAACAATAGCACATGTTTGTTGAGGTACAACACGTCTTGACAGCACCTTAGGTCATGTAGGTTCTTCAATAAGTCTAAGGAAGTATTTTGATTTAGACTTGTTGGCGGTTATAACCTCGTGAATTGCCTTCCCGCCGTCTCGCTTCCGACTGCCGACTTTACGTTGGCCATCATATACTGTCACGGCGGTTGGATCATATGAGTTGTTAGCCTCGATGTCAACTATGTATGACCCCAGTCGATCTAACTCCCGGCGACCGTAATGGTGCATTCCAACTATTTGAAAGTTTGTTAGGACAAATTTCTTCATTAAACCTGAAGAGAAAAGAAAATCAGTGTAATTTTTTCAAAAATAATGTTTTTGATATTGTGTCTTGTGTGTCTATAAGTGTTGGGCTTCAACTTTCCTACGTAACTTTAGTTGTCCTTTTTTCATTTGAAAAAGTTTCCTTCTCTTTGTTTTTCTCTCAGCTCAGTTTTTTCGTCTTCATTTTCTCTTTCTTTCTAAATAATTCCTTTATTATCTTCTTGGTTAATCATGGCTGTTTTCTTTCTTCCTTTAATTTTATATCCTGTTGTTTCTTCTTTTCCTTTGCTTCAATTTCTTGCTGTACATATGTACTTGTCAAGACTATTGCCTTCCCTGGTTCCTTCTTTTTACCTTTAGACGAAGAAGGTGGTGGTGGAGCAACCAGCACATTAACAAATTCACACAAAATCATTTGGGATAAGTCCTGCTTTTACTAGTTAAGTTTAATTTTGTCGGGGCCAATCACCATTCAGTACCATGCAATCTGTCTTGAATAAATGACGACAGCTGACTGACTTCTGTGTGTATTTAAGTTTATTTATACTCGCCACCGGTTACCCATATGGGCGAGTCCTCCAGAAGAGTATTAGTCATTTTATATTTTGGAGCATAGTGCAAGAGTCAGATACAGAAAGATGCCCCTATTCCAGAAGCTTCCCCTGGTTCCTTAATGTGCCAAGTGTTTAAGCACTCATAAACGGGACCTCGATTTGAAGTCCGGGAATCGAACCCACTATGTCGAGATTACAAGTCTCGCGCTCTAACCGATTGAGCTATGCGGACTGGTAGGACTGACTTCAAACTAGATCGCGCCTTATCTAACAATCATGTGATTACAATTGTAATTCAGTCATATCGCTCCATGATTAGCAATGGTTAGCATAATATATTTAAAGTTTAAGTTTGATTTTTATTAATTCACATTTATATTTTTATACGTTACAATACAAAATATCATATGATCTTAAACATATATATTTACGCTTTACATAAACAGAACCTAATTCACATGTTATTTCAACATCCTTTATATGCTTTATCAACAATTATTAATAACTTTAAGTTAAGAGGACAGTTTTCAAAAGGTATGCCCAAATCTCGTCAACTGGTACTTAAAGTCGTCATTAAATTTAAAGGTTACTTTTAATAGACAAGGTAGTTTTTGCTTAGAAGTGAAGCTACAAATACAAAACCAAAAAAAAAAATGATCTATTGGACAGAGTTACTTCCCACTGTTTACAAAAGGCCACTTGTTTAATCTAAAATTTATTGTTAGTAAATTGATAATAAAAATCATTATTATGAATCTTTGAAAACAACTGATCAATTTATAATACCAAAATAATAAATTCCTGAGAGTTGTTTGGTGGACAGATTTTTGTTGTTGTTGTCTTGTTGAAATACAAGGCTTGTTTATAATTGAACACAGTCATCTGTAACATTTAATATCATGACCAGTAGTTATGTGTATTTTAAGAAGTTTTTTACTAGATCAATATTGAGAAAATTGGCCTTTTTCAATGTAAGATTATGAGCATAAGCCCTCTTTGACATTTCTGTAAAAATTGCCTGTAATAAATTCTCTGCAGAAAACCCTGATTTTGTAACAATGTATGCAATTTGATTTTCTATTTACTGTCAATGGCTTTCATTTTATTAATCATTTAAAATCTGAATAATTTTCAGAAATTACAAAAATATTTTTGCACACAGAAATTACTCTCTTAAAGATAATATAAAGTTGTTGATTCAATTTACCTTGTGAAACTGACATTGTACAATATTATGTTTGTACCTCTGTGAATGGTTTAGGGTTTTTGATCTCAAATCACTCTCCCTGTGTGATGTTGTGGATAAGAATCCTGTAAGGAACTTAATTTGGATTCCCAAGAGGAAACTATCAGTAAGCTTATAATAGGTTTGTTGTTCTATCACTATAATCAGGTTGCAAGCTTGTGTCAGTATTGTAAAGCTTGAGAGTGGCAATACAACCTTGTTTGGATACTCTTGAAATGAAGGGACTAAACAATGAATTTGGAGTTGTGTGGCATGTTTGCCCTAAATGCGGAAAGACAAACTAATACAAATTCTAGATCAGCATTGAATATTTACATAATACAAAAGCAAAAGTGACTTAAAACATTTTTTTTTTCAATAATTTTGTAAAAAATCATGTCAAAAATACTTCAAAACTATAAATAATCATTGATTTTATGGATAAAAAATCTGTTTTTGGAGTGTTAAAAAAAATTATGGAAAATAAAAAAAATTCACCTCTTTTGTCATTTTATTTTTATTTTGTGGTCGACTGATAAAAAAATTGAATTTTATTTTTATTTATCCCCCCGACCCAATTTTTAAAAAAAATGTCCCGTAAAACATTTAATAAAAAAATGTTGGCCTTATTTTTCGGATAATGCTGAGTTGTTTCGATTGGAAGACGCCCCTTAGCTCGGATTCCTACAGTATGCTGTCGATTAGCTTAAATTTAAGCAGCACGCCTCAAGATTCATCCTAATTTTCATGAAAATTTTGGAAATGTATCTAAAAGTCAATTATTGTGAAATGAACAAAGAACGTAATTGACACATTTCAATCGGCACTAATAATCCACGTAAATTACCAAAAAGATAAGTTAAAATATGCAAAAGTAGCCCCTACTGCGGTAGTAACACAGTAGAAATATGGTGATAAATACTGCAAAAACACACTTATTGCACATAAAATATAAATTATCACTTGAATCTTTAATCTTTTTACTTTTTTTTAAATTTTTAGTACAGTTTTTCCAAGTTTAATTTTCTTAAAATATTTTGGCTCATCTGGAGGCATGCAGCTTTAAAGAAATTGATTATAGAAACAAGAAGTCTGTCGATTTTACCAGTTTCCTTCGGGTTCATTTCCTGGATTGATATATACTTTTTACATAATAATTAGACAAAGGGGTTGGTGACCCTTTTGGTCTCGAGCCCATGACTCCTATGTTAACAGGCACATATCGTAACATCAAGTGAAAGATTTCTTATTATTTTGATTGCACCAAAGTAAACATCTGAAATTGCTGAGTTTTTTTTGTTAACACTTTTATTCAAATGAGCGTTCATTCGAAATACGCAATATATGATCATGTATATGTAGTTAAATCACATGTGTTTATATGCGCATTTATTCAATGTCACATCGGTGTGTTTGATATATTTTTGTACAGGCAGAGAATATTGACAATTTCCAAAAATTGATAACTAAGCTGCATACACCCAAACAGGACCGTGGGCATGGGGAGTTGTACCTGGTCCGTGGGATGTTGGTGTATATAGCTCACAATCAGTCCTTTGATAATTCACGTGCCAGATACAATACACCTCTCTTTTATGTACAACAGCTTGTTGAGAGAAGAATTTCTGCTGCTGAAGTTTTCAAAATATATTGTGGGTAGGTATAGTCCACAACGTATGTTTTATATTCTTTTTTTCATATAAAATGGACTTCTCTTACCAAATACATCAACTTACCAAAAGCATGTTCAATTTGTGTAATAGATATGTTCCGCGTTGAATTTGTAACAGTCCATTCAAAGTTGAAAGGATTTCAGTATCGAAGAACCAAACAATTTAGCTACCACCAGCATAGACTGGTTATCGCAGTGCAGACTGTCCGGGCTCTTTATACTGTAGGCAAAGGCCAATCACTTCCGGTTGCAGCAGGTTTCGAGCTCAAAATTTAAGAAATGTAAGTGAAAAGTGCGCATGAAACTTAAATCCTATTATATTTGTATCCAGATAAGACAGAAATATTAATTGTTCGCCTAATCTTTGCTGTAATGTGTATCTATAGGTTATAGGTTATATACAGAGTTTTAAGAAATTAATTTTCGAGCGACCCGTCTATTCAAACCGATTGCACTATGTAAATAGGCGGAGTCCTTTAAATCGGCTCATTTAACGTATTTAATACATACAGTTGAGTTACAGCACTGTATGGAAATTTAAACAAAATAGAGCGATTTCATTGGTAGACAAACTTTGGCGAACTGTAAGGGACTTAATGGAACTTGAATATAATATAAATCAACAAAACAAACATTCTAAGGAATAAATCAAACACAACTTTTGCTTACTAGTATTTTGAATAATGTTTACATTTGACATTACGTGAAAAACACTGAAATATGCATTTTTTTGTATTTATGATTTATGTTTTTTATTATTTTTAAAGCTTTTGTGTTCCTCCTGTTATGCGAGGATAACTAAATATCAAAATAATTGCACATGAAATATCTTAATTGATTGATTACAAATAACCTCGTCATTTGTATCGATACATTATGCTTCAGCTATGCTGGAATAGAATGCGAACTGGTTACCGGAAGAGCGAAAGCAATCCGTTACAGGGCGGGAGATGGTGATTCTGACTACCTGAAAAATAATACATGGTTAGCGTTCAAAGCAGACGACAAATGGCACCTGGTACATCCACAATGGGCAATTCAAGCTTTTGTCGGATATGAACATAGTGGTGAGATTGAGATTGAAAAAGATGGCAGAGAGAGACTTAAAGTCAGGACCGGAAGACAAGGGACAGCAAAGTACATGGTGAATGACTTTTGGTTTTGTACAGCTCCCGACATTTTTGTAACTCGATGTTTTCCAGACGAGATAAAGTGGCAGGATCCTCAGAACAACGGTAAAGTTTTGATAAAGAATGTAAACGATTTCCTATCTTTACCTGACCTGCGACAAGGTTTTTATGATATGAAGTTGGAATTGCTAAATGAGGAGAAGTCATGTATTTTACATTCTAAAAAAGGAAAATGTTTTGTTTCAATAATGTGTGAAAAGGACGGAGCAAAGAATTTAGATTTCTCTTACGAGCTTGCAATGGAAGGTACTTCGAGTAATGGTCTGGAGGTCAAGGACACGAAACAGTTAGTGTTATATCAAATTGGTGGCGGAAAAAACAGAAATATAATTCAGTTTGAAATTCGTCTGCCGGTTGTTGGAACTTTCTGGTTTCGATTAGCAGTGGGTCTTATGCAAGAACCGGATCTGAAACGGAACTGCTGTGAATTCAAAATCATATGTAAAGATGCCTGTGAAAATTGCAAACGTTTTCCAACATATGAAGGCATAAGTGCTTATGGTTGTGGTTATGAGGCGGAAGAGGCGGGGCTTCTGCATTCTTCTCTGACGGACGCCAAGATTAATATGCCGCCGAACAAGGGAAATACTAAGCGGACGATTGCCAAATTCAAAGTAGATGATGATCCTAGTAGGAACATGACATACGGCGCCCGGATGTTGATGAGCGGAAGTGACGAAGTTGACGATGATCAGATTAGTATTTTTCTTGAAGGTAATTTAAAAATCTTGTATAATTCATAATACCCATGATACCGCCAATGCATGTACATTCCTCGAATTGATCCTGTGTTTTAGAAAAAAAGCCATGACAATATAAAAGAATGATGAAGTATTTCTATATTATGTGAACCATGACAAAAAAATAACAACAAAAATAAAAAAATAACCACAAAAACAACAAAAAAAAAAACGTTAATGTAAACAGATCAACATATTCATTATTTAGAAGGCTTTCATTTTTTTAAACATTTTAACAGCGCAAATCTCTTTTCTCTATGCAATATGCAAGATGTTATTTTTTTTAAAAGCAAATAGTAAATACACATAATTTCAACATACTGGTTATTAACGAAAAACTTTGGATTTCTTATAGTTATTGTTTATTTTGGTTGAGATCTTTTTTTGTTTACTTTGTAACACGTACATGAACCGCTGTGCATAAATTGTACGATAAAATGGTTTGAAACTTGTTTGGCGTTTCATGTTGTTCCAGAAATAAGTTGTTTTCAAGTTTTAACTTGCGATTCATTTATGAAAGAAACGTGTAGCAAAGATATTTCACAACAAGGCCGCAATGGTTGCCTCAGTCGTGAGCTGAACCTAACAGACAAGTTTTGTGGATATATTTCAGACTTTGGTTTATTAAAAATTGCTCGAAAAATTATAATTTTGAAATATCCGAAATAGTCTGGTTATCGGACCTATTCTCTCATTTTCTCATCCTAGGAACTACCGAAGTGGTTCGAGACCAACAAACTGGTACACTAACGGTCAATGCCAGCGTTCCAAATGACGGGGAGTATACTGTATTTATAACTGCTAAGGACGAAAAGGACAAGAAGGCGAAGAAAGCCAAACCAGTTGCCGCTTACTTGGTTACCACAGAAGTTGATGAAGACGAAAGTAAGTCTGCGAAAAACATGTGACACTGTCTATTAAGATTCAATACAGTCCAGTCTTAAACAAAATTTAATCTTAATCAAGAGACAAATGTGACAAAACCGCTTAACTTTATTATGAGTACATTAAGCGATGAGCAAAGTCAATAAAGCACGGTTAATACGTATACTTTGCTTAAACAATTGCGTTAAGGGATTTTTCGTAACAAAAATTGTTTTATATTAATTTGTGTTTTAGTAAATTTTTGCGCCGCGCTGTAAATGTCATATGGCGACTTTCCAGCTTTACTGGAGGCATTCTACCCCACAGAGGTGCAGGGTAGTTGGTCTTGACCACTCGGCCAGGGTTTTTAATCTTATATTAACTGATTTATATTAAATTTTAGTAAGGTTTAATTCAGGGATAATTTGATTTCAATGTAGAGTTTGATAATTATGATTATATCTTACGTGTAATTTCCGTAGACTTGAAACCATTTGAACATAGCTTACATTTTCTATCCATGACATGGTCTTTTCAAATCAATGATGTCAACTCTTCTTGTGTTGCAGACTGACTGCTGGTTCATTTGTAGATTCGTGGCCATTTCTATTTTCTATCACGAACAGATTAGATTAAAACGACTTTGCAATTTTCGTTTATTTTTTGCAGTACTATTATCCCCTTTTTTCCAGAGTTTATTATACTCACAACAAACGTTGTGGCAGCTGATTTAAAAAAAATTGCTCTGTCCCTTTTCTCAGTGTTGTTTTAGTTTTCTTTCTGGTTCATCGGTTTAATTTATTCCATCGCTTATAGTTTAAAAGGTTAATTACTGCTGAAGGACGTGAAAGTTGTTGCACTTTTCGTGAACATATTCAAACTGCTTTTGCGTTTTCAATGCTCTTGTGGGATTAACCTTTTTCAGTTCTTATACACACAAAAGTAGGTATGAACTGATGTATAGAACAGCTTTCAAAAGTTGCCACATATTTTATCTCAGTTCTGATTTATTCTCTGGTCCATCTCGATCATTGAGTCTACTGCTTTCATAGATACTGCGGGTGCGAGAACTGTTTCACGTCTGAGCTGATTGAACCTATTCGTCTATTTAGTTTCTTTTCATTTCTTATCAGATATCTATTCTGAAAAATTGCTGTTATGTTCTGTAAGTTTCGGGTCTCGCGTTGGCAGACATTTCTTTAGTGGTCATTTTGACCGCGACATTTCTGTGTATTTTGCGCGGACCTTTACAATGTATTTTATTTCCTAAATTAACTGTTGTATATTATATTATACAATAATTGACTAGTGAGTCATTTATTCATAGTAACATATCATATCATATCATATCATATTATATCATCATTATATATTGTTATATAATATTATAGAAGAGTATTTTGATAAATCTCAGTCTGTGCTGTATATTTCAGAAAGAAATAATGCAATTATTAAACAACGAGAAAAGGAGGTACGATGTAAACTTCACAAACAATCCAAGACGGAGACAAGGAACAGACTCTTAGAAATCCTACAAACTACACAATCAGAAGTGGAGGAATTAAAAGGTAAATCATCAAAGGCTCATTAAAATGAATGGGATAAAGGAAAGTCTGTGATACCATTAATAATTATACAGATTATGTACATGTCTATAGACATTGTTTATTCTAGGAATTGAAAAACAAGGGGGGGGGGGTGACATTAGTTGATCTTTTTCCTTCTTTCTCTATGTAAAATTTTCCTCCTTCTGAAAAAAAAATAGGGGGGAATTCTCTAAAATATGGGTGAATACCCCATGCCCCCTCCTAGAATAGACACTACTGTCTATGTTGATCTATGTCGTGCCACCAACACAAGGGACCACAATGGCTATCCAACTAGTTTACGAAACATATGTGGTTCTAATCAGGTGCCCGTTTGTGCCTCTGAGGTCTACCTCCTCCAGTAAAGCTAGAACGTCGCCATATGACCTATGCCTTGTTGGTGTGAGGTAAAACCCAACCAAACAAACATTAACCATATAAAAGTTCATATTAAATCACTTACATTTCTATCACAATTTTTTACAATATTTAAATGATAGAATTCTATTGTTTTTGAAATCTGAAATACTCATAGATCGAAAATGTGCCAATTGTAGACTAGTCCTCTTTAAGCCCAAAAATAGTTATTTTATTTCTCAAAAGCTCTTTATTTTTAGTGTACTAATGGTACAAATTGCTTATATAGCTGAACCATGTTTTCCTTATTTTAGAAACTTACTATTTTGAAATTATGTCAAATACATTTCTTTCCAAGCGATAATCATTAAGCCTGCACATAACATGCTGTAAATTTAGTTGCATTGTTTACATTTCCTTGAGAGGGTAGGTAGTATGCTGTTAGGGTCAAAGGTTATAGCTTATTTGAACCGCACTTAAATTTTCATCCTGATATCCTCATTATTTATAATAGACAATTCCAAAAATGGATGCTGGTAGCGTCCACCTAAGAAACAATCGCCTAAGAAATTGAGAGGGACCTCAAACGTCATGATTTTAGGAAGTTTTATTTTTCGGACTTCGTCCATCTGTCAGCAGTTTGTCTTCCTGTAAAATTAACAGGGAAGGGCTGAATATAAGAAGAATTTTCATTTGTCATTTTAAAATTACAAACTGAAATCTGTGAATCCCATTGGTCATTCTGAAATAAAATGTAAAGGACAGTTCTAACCATTCTAAAGATAGTTCTTACCATTCTAGCTCTACGAAAAAATGTGAGGGATAGTTTTACCACTTTAAATTAAAACGTAAAGGATAGTTCTAAAATAAAATGTACAGCAATAAGGATAGTTCTTTAACTTTTAGGTTAATTTGTAAATGAATACAAAATTTATAAAGTGAAACGTAAATCAAATAAAAGGGACACCTTAAATATTTGAAAAATCACCAATATCAATATGCTATAACTTAATTTCAATGTATACAAAATGGATATTTTCTTAGCTACAAGAAATTATTATTATTTCATTGTTAAGCAAGCTTTGCTAACATTTCTTTTTGTATTGAAAACTTAGAAATAACATAATAGTGCATGTTAAAAAGTTTTACATCGGTGAGTATCGTTTTAAAAGATACTTCTTGTTTTAATAATGATTTTCGCTCGTGACTGTAAATTTTGTTTATTTCATACACGGTTCTTTATGATATAGTTTCAGGACGAAAGAAATAAAGAGGGGAAAAAACACCAAGAATGGAGGCTTTTAGGATTAAGAGAATACATGTAGTGAACTGCGCAACGTCATGTTCCCTTATTAGTGATGGCAAAGTCCGATAAAAAAAAACTGAAAGAAATTTGAGGCTTTTTTAATGGATTGAATTTAATACTCCAGAAACTCGCTAGAATTATAGCATTGTGTTCGTTTCAAGATGGTTGCTCGATTATTATTTTTTTAGGAAAAAAACAACAACAAAAAACCCCAAAAAACGGAACAACGGTGTGGAAAAAACTAACCTTTGCTTCATTCGGACGGTTGGCAAGTCTGAAGTTCATTCCCCTTATAGTACGTTACCGTAGTAAATGTAGGCAGGGTCAACGTTTAAACAAGTATCACAGTACATTTGTATAGTCACTTGTAACTGTTTTACTACTAAACAACTACTGTATATTGATTATGGTTAGACTTTTATACTAACATGTTAATCTGTACAATATATAACAGTAAAAAATCAATGACTTTAACCACAGTACAAACATCCTCTGCAGAGCAACACCCTGTTCGAGACAAAAAAACAACACTTTTATTGTTGCTGTGAGGTGTTGCTCAAGAGAAGTTGTAATTATTGCTCAGTCTTAATTAGGAAAAACTGAAACTGTACTTGCTATACAGTGGGCCACTCTGTAGAGGTTACACTGTATATTATAAATTCCGTTTACAGTATACTCCTATTTTATACACTAAGACTTCTGCACATCTTATGACGTCATAAAGTCGTTATATTCATACGCTAATGTAAGAAAATTGTAACTTTGGAAATGACATTCATTTCCATGACAAATTAATAAAATAAGAAAATAGAAAATTGTAGAATATACTGACATGTGTTTGTGGTGTATCTTTTTCCATTGGGGTACCTGACTAAAGGCGTTTATCTCCGCCTAATTTGGAGGTGCACTCTGGACGGACATTACAATCTAAACCGCAATATATGACAGATAATATAAATGAGCCGCGTCACGACAAAACCAACATAGTGCGTTTGCGACCAGCATGGATCCAGACCAGCCTGCGCATCCGCGCAGTCTGATCAGGATCCATGCTATTCGCTTACCAACTCTAATACAAGTAGAGAAACTGATAGCGAACAGCATGGATCCTGATCAGACTGCGCGGATGCGCAGGCTGGTCTGGATCCATGCTGGTCACAAACGCACTATGTTGGTTTTGTCGTGACGCGGCTCAATTGTATGCTTTTTGAAACATATTGTATTACAGACGCAAAGCTTATTGAAAACTTGTTTCTTCTTTTTTATCTCCTTGTATGAAATGTCACTTTTTACTGCCCTTGTTCTCCAGAGTTTTTAGTTTCTTTAAATGTTATAAGATTAGTAATTTTATTAATCTTGAAATTATATTTGACCGTGGATGTTGTTAGAACTAAAATCGCGAGGAATAAAAAGACAAATACGAGCATGTTCCATTATAGTATAATCCACGAGAGCAAAAAAAAGAACAAAAAAAAAACAAAAAAAAATAACAACCACACACACGCACGCCCACCAATAAATAAAAAAATATTTATGATTGACGGGTAACGCCGAAGTTCATTCCAATTTCCCTATGTAGACGGCTGAGAAAGAAGACCTTTCTTGCAAAATATATAGAGGAAAACATTTTCCCGCCACTCATAAAATATTTATTTTCATTTCACTCGATAAAAAAATCCTGTAGATCTATATATTTACAGAAAACACTTGAATTTTCTGTTTATTATATACATTTTTCTCATTTTTTTACATTACAATTTGAAGACTTCACCTTAATTTTTCTGCATTGGCTGACTTCAGGGAAATCAGGGAAAATACGAAAAAATGTTTCACTGCGGAAAATACGGAAAATGAAAATACGCATTTTAATTTCATCAATATTTCTTAATATGTCATTTATAAGTATTTAATATACTCTGATATTGACCTGCTATCTTTTTTACAAAAAATACTTCTTAGTCAACCAGAGAAACGCATCTTAAAAATTTTCAAAGCTTTTATAGATTATATAATATAATTGAGCCGCGTCACGACAAAACCAACATAGTGGTTTTGCGACCAGCATGCATCCGCGCAGTCTGATCAGGATCCATGCTGTTCGCTTACCAACTCTTTTACAAGTGGAGAAACTGACAGCGGACAGCATGGATCCTGGTCAGACTGCGCGGATGCGCAGGCTGGTCTGGATCCATGCTGGTCGCAGATGCACTATGTTGGTTTTGTCATGACTCGGCTCATATTATTTAATGAATCTCTACTCATCCAATATATCCTCTATTCAGTAATGTCACCTATATAATGCCTATCCTATCTTTTGTGATAATTTACTCTATAAGATTAAAAAAAAAACTGGATGATTTTACTAACATTTTATTATCACAAATTAAATAAAATAATTTATACTAAAGTTAATGCTTGGTTTTAATAGCGATGGCAATAGGTACCAATAGGCCGATTCCAATGCCAAGTAATTTTTGACCTCGGGTCCACTTCTGAAAATAAAAGAAAAAGAAACAACAACAAAAAACAGGTCATTGTAAAAATATGAATATACATTAATATAAATCTAATAGATAAAATAAATAGGATATAAACCATTAAAACGCGTTTGATACAGCGAATTACCATAAAAAAAAATAGCAGGCTAATGTCACAAAACCAGTTTGTATTTTGAAAAAAAAAACAACAACAAAAAAACCAACAACAAAAACCAAACAAAATAACATAAAAAGGAACATAATTCTGCTTTAAAAAAAAAGAAGATAAAATCGTCCTATGCGCCAGGGCATATATTAAGATCGCTTGATAAATTAAGGTGGAGGTGTGAACTGGAGAATTAAAATATAGAAATATAGGGTAAATAAGGAAACTGAGTTCAATGGGATCGATTGCGACATGTTTGTTTCTGGTGGACAAGATGATTATAAACAACAATAATATAATGATAATAATAAAAATAATATCAATAATAAATAACAACAACAAACAAATAAGTACCTGTGGGGTGAGTATATGTCTTAGACATTTAGCGTGGCATGAATCCTTTTTCCCCTCATTGACCCTACAGAAAATCAAACAAAGTAAAAATGTAATTAATTGAACCTTATCTCTGGAAACTTGAAGTTTGCGACAATAGTTATGTTTTATTATCAATTTTAATATTTGTACCCTATGAAAATGCTTCATGATAAAGGTTTATGAGGTGCGCAACATGAGGCTGGTGTAAAACTACTTAACTTCACCATTTAAAAGGACTCATTGAGGTTGACGGGACGAGATTTGATTGATAAAGGTCTGGACCAGTATTTTCAGATCTCCTATTTTTCGGGAATAATTTTTTTTATTGTAAAAAATGACCCCAAAATAAAATGAAAGAATTGCACAAAATTCGATTTTCGATTTAATTCTGAGTATAATACTTTGTTATGCTTTACAAAATTTTCAAAATTATATGTTTTAGGTCTTTGGACCTCAGTGGAGCTCCTAATAATAAGATAACAGAGGTTCGAAATTTCGTACATTTTTGAATGTAGAGTGCCAGGGAGCGTGGGCGGTAACTTTTTCTTACCTCTACCGTCCATGAACAGACTCATCAAACCAAGCCAGCAACATTTTCAAGTTAATCGTTTTGGACATTCTTTAGGGAATTATCTCGATTTTGTTTTGATAAAACAGACAATTGTTAAAATGTACACGTTAATTAATAGGTGTTGGCCATATGTTCTCTGTGCTTTGGTCAACAGAATGTTTTGTTAAATTAACTCATGTTTTGCCAGTCAATATAATGTTACGTTTAGTTAAATGTTGATGCAAAGATGTTCCCTGTATAATTTAACTTAGTTCTTGCTCATCTTTAGTTCAGTTATTTTTGGTAAAAAAGAGATAATAATAACAATATTACCAGTTCTTTTCCGGGAATTCAGTTTCTGAAACATGAATAATAAAACTTATACATGTATTAAATGTTACCAAATTAGTTAATTCCTTCTTACTTAATCATGATAAATAGTGTATAATGCATGAATTTGTTGAAAAATAACAGAACGACAAACAGCCTCAGTAGATTTAGTTAAATGCGTATTTGAGCCGCATCATGACAAAACCAACATAGTGCGTTTGCGACCAGCATGGATACAGATCAGGATCCATGGCATGCGTTCGCTATCAGTTTCTCTTCTTGTAATAGGGTTTGTAAGCGAACAGCATGGATCCTGATCAGACTGCGCGGATCCATGGTCTGGATCCATGCTGGTCGCAAACCCACCATGTTGGTTTTGTCATGACGCGGCTCAAATGAGTATTTATGCACAGGAACTTGAAATTCTATCAAATAACCAATATTAATGATAATATCCAAATATACCCCCTATATACTATAAATAATAATAATTATTTATAGTATATAGGGGGTATATTTGGATATTATCATTAATATTGGTTATTTGATAGAATAGGGGTATATTTGGATATTATCATTAATATTGGTTATTTGATAGAATTTCAAGTTCCTGTGATTTATGTAAGTAAAACTATGTACATATATAGAGGTCTCAATTAAAGTATATTCATGTTTACGCTTTGCATAATAGGAGGCTATATTTTCCAAGCAATAAGCATCTATATATATATATTTCTGTTTGTCTATGTAAAGAGGGAAAAAATTATTCATTTCTGAGGTATAATTTTAAAGTTTAGTAACACTTCGGTTTTGTAAGTGAAGCGATTACGTATATTGTTTTTGAAACATATTTGAAAACTGACCATGGTATGTTTGTGCTGGACCATTCACTGAGTTGACTATGTGGCAGATAGCTCCAGGTGTTTGTGGTAAGTCAAAAACTATCTTGTTTAATCCAATTTCCCAACTAAAAGTACCTGAAATGTGTGTAGGTTAATAGTTTATACCAATAACTTCCCAGAATATGTCATTTACAGAAGCTGACCAAAACAGCCAATTTTCCTAGTCGGACATTAAAAGTAAAGGCTGGAAATGAAGTAAATATAAGATGTCAGTATAATTACTTTAATCGTCAAGATTTTTAACATGATACATACACACACACACATACAGGGTGATCTAATAATAATAAAATTATGCTATTGGAATTAGTTTGTCACACAAAAAAAAGGTAAGAAAAAAATTATTGGGAACTTGTTAGCGAGACAAGCAAAACAGGCAAACAATGTTTTGTTAGCAACACTAAACAGCGACACAGGAAGTCAAAGTGACGTCAATGACGTCATCAATATTGTCATTATTAATTTTCAGCTGTACGTGTACTGTGATATAGAAAAATACCGAAAGTTGCAAAAACTATATCGTATTTCTACTGAACCATCATAATAGCAAATATGGAGGCTAAAAATGATAGGTGGAAGAGCGGAACGTCCAGGTGACGTCATTGACGAGTTTGGGTGCGGCAGTGAATGAAAATGATAGTACTGACAGTATCACAGCTGAAATATTTATGAAAAACAGCCAGAAATGTTATCTTATTCCTTAGAACAACAGGAAACTTTAATACTTTCGTTTAAATAAGAAAGAACGAACACCGTGAGGCAAATAGAGTGTTTAAAGGATAAACTAGAAAGTTGGTAAAGTACACTCAAACCTTCTATAAATGGAATCCATATTTCAATAATTTGAAAACTTTGGACTCTTTTTTTCTGTCTTTTTTTTTTGGTGGGGGGGGGGGGGTGGTGGGGGTGGGAGGATATGTTGTCGCCGAGAAATGCGCAAAATCAAGACGAATGTGGGTAATGTCATTACTCAATGTTTTCGACGCCACACTAAGCTTGTTTCTGTAGAGAGGTGGACAATTTGAGCAAGTGCTACGGTCGAACAAACTGACATATAAAGGGAAACATATAATATATCTATATACTCCACATACTAAAATTTGGAAAAAATTGAAAGTGGTATGGAAATAACTTATCTATCATAAATATTGGACTCTTACCTCTATGACAAAAGACCCACTTAAACTCGATTTCATGAATGTGGTCCGGGACATAAACTGTGGTTGTGTACTCCCTGTCACTCGGACCTCTTGCTTTCACACCCTTTGCTGGGTCCCAGGATCCAAGTTCAGGAATATTACCGACAACTTCCGCAAAGTCACACTGTACCTGAGCACTAGTTACCGATGTAACCGTAAAACAAAGTGTTTTCTGTGGAATGGTAAACAACATTATTATGTATTTTTGAAGATTTGTAAACAATATTATTATGTATTTTTGCAGATTTGTGAACAATATTATTATGTATTTTCTGGTAACTGGTAAACAGTATTTTAATGCATTTTCTGGTAACTGCTAAAAACATTTTTTATGTATTTTCTAGTAAATGATTAACAGTTTTTTTATCATTTATTTCCTGTAACTGGTAAACAACATTTTTATGTATTCTCTGGAAACTGGCAAAAAACATTATATGCATTTTAACAGCATTATTATGTATTTTCTGGTAACTGGCAAACAGCATTATGTATTTACTGGTAACTGGTAAACCTCATTTTTATGTATTTTCTGGTAACTGGTAAATAACATTATTATGTGTTTTCTCATAACTGGTAAACAACATTTTCTATGTATTTTCTGGTAACTGGTAAACAACAGTATTATGTATTTTCTGATAACTGATAAACAGTATTTTTATCATTTATTTTCTGGTAATTGGTAAACAACAGTATTATGAATAGTCTCCAGACTGGTAAACAACATTATTAAACAATATCTTCAAATTGGGACGCAAAATTATCATGCATTTTCTGAGAACTATGTTTGGAAGAAAATACATAAAGACGAAATTATCTACAAAAAAAATATAATGATATTAAAAAGATAAAAAAGAAAAATATTAGAACCATTATTGAATAATGAACTAATAACCTGAGAGCCATAGGAAATAACTGACTGAAATTAAAACAAAAGTACAATTTAAAATTAAAAATAAAGATCCGGATGGATGAATATTGTATATTTATCACATAATCAGTAAGAAAACACGGAAATATCACCCATATTACTGTAATATTTCTGTTTAAATAAATTAAAGCGAACACATTAAATATTAAATAATCTACCATGTTAGAAATAATCCGTATTTCATAATCAGCTTTACCAAACTACCATTCCTCTATAATATTTAAGTTTAAACATTTGTTTGTGGAACATGTAAAACCGCTATAAAATTAATAACCTCAACTGTTTTTAACTAAAACAATTTAATAAATATAAATAGGTATATTGCACACATAAAGTAGACAAATTGATGAATAGATATAGATGTATCATGAAGTTACTAATTTGCCAGGAATATCAAATTACAAACTTTTATGTTTAAAACAAAGAAATGATAATTTACATAACAAAAAGTATACGCTAATCGGCCTTGAACAAGTTAAAACAACATGCATTTTCGCTACAGTAACATGCAATAAATCTTAATGAAAAAAATATATCTCTGTGGTTGTTTATAACAGGCCTTTAACACTGAAACTCAATATGAATTTTCTTGAATTGAATCTTTAAAAAAATGTTAAAAGTGATTAAAACATCTTGTACTTAGTTACATTTTTGTGTATTTATCAAAATGTAAAAATTCAGCACAGGAATTTTAAATCGTACGTCGTGAACACATGTACATTATGTTTATAAATAAAACATCTCACCATATCGTCTGCTATCTTACATTCCTGCTGAACAAATTCCCATGATTTAAACTTATTTTATATTCAACCGCGTGCAGAACTCGTTGTCACGTACATTCGGAATGTTCAGACGTTATCATTTATGACGTCATGGCATGGGTCGACGTCAACTTTCGTCATCTTGTCTTTTTATTTGATGAAAATTTAAAGACAGCTACAAAATATTATATACCAGTAATCTAAAAACACAAAATATCACCCCTAAAAATAATCAAAACTCATATAAAGTATCTTGTATCATAGTTTGGAGACCTTTCTGTTGAAAATGTGTCAGGGTTAAATCGTATACATATACATGCACAGTGCGTTAACTGGAGTGCGGGTATTAGTTTCCCGCACTCCAGAGCATGCCCATTGATTGGCTCATTTTTGCTGGGGTTTACATATTGTGACGGCAGAGAAAGGGAAAGCGACAGAAATGTCATATTCAGATGTTCGTTCATTGGTTCATTTTTGCCGGGGTTTCATATTGTGACAACAGGGAACGTGCTTTTATGTTTGACTATGATACAAAAGAGAAAGAACACCAAAACACTCGGCAATCTGATTAATACTCGGGGGCTACGCCCCCTCGTACAAATCAGATAGCCTCGTGTTTCGGTGCTCTTTCTATTACTAACACACGACGCTATTGTGTATTAATGAAGGGAAGTAATTAGCGTCACATTTTAGGATAGTGAAAAAAGAATTAAGAAAATTTGCATTTGCTAAAAAAGAGTACCGTAATAGTAAAGCAATTGTGTTTTAAAAAAAGCTAATTGCATGTTTGCTATGTTGAGGGTACGATTTACTAGCTGGTGGAAACGAATTTGCTTTGTGTTGGGAACGACTAAACATCTTGTTTCCGCGAGTAAGTTATCTTGTTCCTACGACATAGCTCACTCGTTCCCACGACATATAACTATCTCGGTCCCACGATGTTAAATAGCAAGTCAATTTTAAGACCGAAAAATCGTTAATTATATCACCGTGTATAACCAGTAATGCCACAATGTGAAAATAACGCATGATTCGTGCAAAAATAACGCAGAATTGTGCAATAAATCGCGGATACCTGGCAGGACTTCCAACGCGGTAAGAACTGGCCAGTATATTTCTTAATATTTAACCAAACTGAAAAAAGAGGAATTGCTTCGGCTACGGCTGCGAAGACAGTATATTTTATCCCTCATCAAGATTATTCCCACGAAATTGCTTACTTTTCAAGATCATTCGTGAAAATGATGACCATCGTTTTGAGTGTGATTGGCTTTTTGTCAACACTTACTAGTACAACAATGCATATCATACCGTATAATTCCGATTTTTGGTAGACAAATGGCATTTAATAAACCTCTGGTGACATAGAAAATTGAAAATGTGGTTCAAGCCGCTTTTAACGAGGTAACGCCGATGTATATGTAGGTGAATAGTGCTTTGCGGTAACGCCGGAAAATGTGGGAGGTTTCCGCCATTTATTGCACGATTCTGCGTTACTTTTTGCACGAATCATGCGTTATTTTCACATCCGGCGTTACACGATATAAACGGTGTAAATTTACCTCAAAATTTAGTTAAATCATTAATGTCAATGACTATTACCTAGAACAGGTATTGGTTTTAGTCCTGTATCTCAAACTAAAAAATGAACAGCTCGTTTTTAAAAATCTCGTTCCAATGACTTAGTTGCTAGTTCCCATGTGCACGAGATACTAAGTCTTTTCCTCGAGATAGAATCTCCCCGGAACGGGTTAAGTGTAATTTAAAAAGAGGTTGTGTATGTCACCTTTGAGCCACCGTTCCTCTGTACCACCGTATTTTTTATTTTTCAAAATTCAAATATTTTTTTATTGCATAGCTCCTTTTTTATTGTTCCCACGACCACGTAACTCTTTCTCGCGATAAACTAAGTCGTTTCCTGGAGGTAATTTCCGGCGGAAACGAGATCTGAAGAAATGAGCAGTGCATTTTTTTAAATTTCGTCCATGTCACCTCTGCGCCACCGTACATTCATGTAATTTATGAAATTAACTCGTTATATTCTAGCATTTACAGGGTTTTTCTGTGAACTTTCGTGTTTTTTCTTAATTATATAGTATTTCAGTAATAATGCTTTTTCATCATCGGAATATCGTAGTAATGTCGCGTTTTTACCATCATAACGTCGTGGTTTCGTGTTTTTATCACACTATTATTGTGTTGCCGTGTTTCTATGTTTTCATTTTAGCAATGTCGTGTTGTTTATGATATCTATCAAAATGTCGTGTTTTTTTCATCATGGTGATGACATCGTACTCAAATTTTATGGAAATATTTAGAGAGCAACAATACTGTAAAGATAATAATTATGCCATTATATGTTTTTCTGATGGAGAAAGACCACGAATCTGCCCATCTTTGCATTATGGACATGTGGACATCGTAAAGATTTTCATTAAACTAGCTGGAAAAGGAATCAAACCATAGCAAGTCATTTAAGCCAGTAAGTATGTAATACTGAACTAACCAGGTCCATTATAAAGGCTCCGGCACGATAGGCTTTTCATTTAACATTATTTTAAAGAATAACACTTTTTTGTGACCCCTTTCATTAACAGAGATCTTGACCTGGACTAAATGGTATCACAAACATTACCGACTTACCACAAGCAATCTTCTTTTGTTTGTTTGTTTCATTTTACGCCTTTTCCCAACAGTATTTCAGTCATATAGGCGGGTAGTTCCTAACCATCGTTCCTGGAGAGTTACACCAGCACTAGACTACCTTCCTCCGTGCTAAACTACCAAAGCATCTCCCGGGGATCGAACCCACGCCAGAGAGGTAACTGGATTAGAAATCATCGACGCTAACCTCTCGACCACGGAGGAGCAATCCTCTTACGTCAGCAGCTGTATCTAACTTGGATGGCACATTTAGCAATGGGCTGCCGATTCTTTTTTAAACAAAAATACCAAATTTACTTGACCTATAATAGAGAACACAGCTTCCCATACATAGCTTATTCATTCTTTTAATCAATTTAGACATATTCAATAAGAATTTCATAGATGTCAATAAATTTCTGAGGATGAGCGTAGTATATTAAGTGATCTTGAGCTTACCATGGCAAACATTTCAAAAATCATTGCATGTGCAAAGAATTTTCTCCCTTTTCCTTTTCAAAACACGGCTTTAATTACACCTTGACAAAAACAAGAAAACAAACAGTATGATGCTTTTTAATTTTTATTGCACTTTAAAATTAATGGACCATATTAACTATATATACTCAGTGATCCTTCAAGATATTGTAAGAAGATATAACAGACCAAATGCTGCTGACCTTTAATTCATCACACACAATAAGTAAGAATTTTTACTTATAGTCAATAAAAAAAGCGATAACCAAATATGTTTAACATCAACCTTTCACTACATCTCACAAATAAAAATTACTGATAAGTACAAGGTAATAAATTGGGTCAATGATTTCTTCTTATTTAACTTAATGATCAAGAATGCTTTCTTTTTAAAAAAAAGTTTGGGAAACAGAAACACATAATATAATGAAACAGTACAAAATACAGCATTTCACAAATCATGCACAAATTAACTCAAAACTTTAAAATTTGCAGGCATGCTGCCTCAATATCACCAGTATTTGCCAGAATATATCAGAGACTTACATGTATATTACATAAATATAGCTCCGATATTACATGAATTAAATTGTTTAGGCATGTTATGCCATTCACACAGTGCTATAGATTTCAGAATTTCAAAACTTTTTTCTGGGTAAACATTCAAGACAGTAATACTACATGTATGACACTTTCAGAATATCATGACCTGGATTAGTTCAAAACAATGAAAAATTGGTGAATATAGACCTAAATATTACAGGAAGGAAACAAATAAATGCTAGTATCACTGTTTATAAGCATTGTAAAATGTTTAATGCAATAAAGATATTGAATTGAATTATTTATAAAATTCTAATGGATTTAATTCCGTTGGAGCAACAGAATTTTCTTCTTTGAAAGGTGTGATACTTATCCCCCTACCATAGTTCTCACATTGCTTCAAATGTTTCAAACAAATGGACAAATGCCAACGTAAACAAGAAAAACAACAGACAATATGTTAGCAAATTACTATACTGTTTGGCTGAACACCTTCAAATTTTCATCTTAATGTCCCCAAAATTGGGACAGTAATAGACAGTTCCAAAAGTGAAAGCTGGACAAGTCCATTTAAGAAACTTAAGGGTAAGTATGATTTTTTTTTTCATAAATTTCATAAATTCATGTACATGTATTTGTGTCTTCTGTTAAAATTGTGTCCAAATCTTTATACTTTTTTAAGATAGTGCAAACTATTTCTGTTCAATGATTTTCCCCACTGTTTCAGAACATTTGTAAATTCTGAGACTTCGCTTTTTCGCAGAGAAGCACTTCTTTTAGCCAAACACTTTGGAAGTACAGATTATATGTTACGTCCTTGCTCCGTCAAATCTAGGTAGTACTGGTAAGATGAGATTCCCGAACGATGAATCTTGTGTGATGAAATATCCCACTGAATTGGCATTAGCATGCTGAAAAATATACAACAAAAAAACCTACTTATACTGGTGCAACATTTAACAGGCATTGTTATGTCATTTCAAATAAAATATCATTTTAAAGGAAAATTTTAAATTACGTACTGACTAAATGATGAACAGTGCAGACCATGATCAGACAGCATGGAAAAATTTAGTTGACAGTACTGTTGCCAACACCAAGGTAATGGTTAAAATAACCGAATTTTATCAGAATATTCAAATCTTATACTATTGGATGGTGACATGATGTCAAATTGAAAAAGATCATGACTCCTGTTTATCTTATAAGAAGTAACATGTTTACATCATCCATGTTATCTATCTCAAAAAGCTTTGCCAAATCTCTGATCTGAAATGTTTAAGATATGTTTAGTTCATTTTTTCAGTTAAGATATGATTGCTTGGTACATAACCCAAGTCAATAATACAGCACAACCTCTAAAAAGTGGCCGTATGTAGACAAATCACCTCTACAACAACAGTTTCACTTTTTCCCAAAGTAAGACTTTACTATAATTCTTGAGCAAGATGTGTAATATTGTCACAGTAAATGGAACGCAACCTATCATTTTAGAGCTTTGTATCACCATCATTATTACAGAGCTAACTAAGCCGGCTTACTTAAAATGAATGACTATAGTACACTTACTTGTAAAGCTGCCCTCTGTGCTGGACTCATGGCCTGAGTATCAGGATGCACCTGTTGAGGAAGAAAATCGTTAATAATCAAGTTAAAACAAGAAAATGATTATTTAAAGCAGAAAACATATCTTTACAAACATGTCTTCAAAACACTTCTAATAAATGATTGTCAATGCACCTGTGTAGTTTTAGGGCGAAAGGCTTACAGGTTGTCGTTGTCGAGTTATTAGTCAGAAACAGTTTTAATATAAAAGGACAATGTGATCTTGACTTAGTCAATCCAAGACCATCATAGTTCATCAAGAGTTCATGAACAATCTCCACACCATGTTTGAAGTTCCTAAGTCCAGGCTTTCTTAACTTTTAATATTCATCAAAAGAAGTCTGGTCTATACACTGACCAACTGACATGTGCAAAGCATTAAATAAATTTTAAAAAGTAATTGTTTTATACCATTGGTGGAACACCTGCAGTAGCTGGTTGCTGCGCTGGTATTGGAGGTATAACTGGACTAGTTGCAATACTAGGGCTGCTGCCGATATGAAAAAAACAAATATAAATATATATAAGTAACACTTCCTATCAATACAATATAGTCAAAAAAGTAGGTTTTGAAAATCTGCCAAGAGGTATTTCCCACATTTGGTCAGGTGTTATTAGACACATAAATCTGAGTTTTATACAGTCAAGGCGAGACATAATATCTGAGTGTTATATAGCATTTACTTGATAAAACTATTATTTCATTTTCAATATAAATCAAGCCAGACATTTGACAGACTATAGTTACATGTTCAAAATCTTCCTGACATCTAACATGACATGTTAGAAAATCTAGATAATTTATCAAACAATTCTAAACAAGTTTAAGTTGAAGATGTCAGTATGTATTTCGGGCCCTATATTTTTACAAACGCTTTTTCTTTAATGTTAATAAGCTTTGCAAGACTGACAAAAATATTTTAGAGATGTTGAATATGAAATAGATAAGACTTAAACAGTGTTGGTATGACTATTACTTCAATCTGTGGTATTAATCACTTTAATCCAAAGACAAAATTGTAAACCTGACAGTGGATGGTGGTACTCCAGGTTGTGTTTGCATTCTCAATCTTTTCTTTTGCTCTTCTAACTGTTCTAGAATCTTCCTATTCTGGCGCTCTGAAATATACAGCATGTAAATTTTTAAAACATCACTAAATTCTTAAAACAAAACACAATACAAACATGTAATTGTTTTCATCAGATACTGAGCAAATTACTTTGAAAAGTATTACATTAAAATTAGCATTTATATGCAAATTTGTGCATACATGTGAACTATCCCACTTTTAGCGGGAGACTCCCACATTCTGCAGACATAGTTTCAAAGATTTTTCTTTAAATAAGGGGATTCTCACAAATAAAAGCAATCTCCCTCATTTTGATATAAGAATTTTCTTCTTTGTTTATTGCAAAATTCTAAAATCTCCCTCTTTTTGAAGAAAAATCTCCCATTTGATCATCGAAAAAATATCCACATGAATGGTAGTCAGACTATTCACCCCTTAAATAAGCACCATGTATTTTAAGTAATGCATTTAATTATGATTATTTCAAAATGTAATGCAATAAATTAAGCATTATTTCATTTGTATCATGTAAAATGCTTGATAAATACACAAGTAATGAATTTAATGAAACTAATTTACAAACATGATAGAGAAATACTGAAAATAACAATTGAGCTATTTCATTTTATTATCAAATATGCTGACAAAACATATTTTATTATCTCTTATTTCCTTAGTAAATAGAATTATGGTGGTTTCGTCGAACTACCGGTTCGGCGAACTTAATTTATGAAGAGGTGCGAAAGTGGTTTCGTCGACCTTATGTTATATAGTAATTAAAGGCAAAGTAGACATGGTTCATATATATAGTGTTAATATCATCAATATTTTTTAATTAAATTATGATGCAAATTGTCTTTCTTGTTTTTGTGTATATATTTAGATTTATATATAATACATAGTTTATTCTTTTTCTTACAGGTGTTAATTTCTGTGTATATATGTCGATTTTATTCCGATTTATAATAACATTGTTCCGTCTTTTTCAACTTTTACCATTATAGGTTTATATTTCAATATCTTGTCTTTAATTGCACGAAAATGTGTGATAAACCACACATGAAGACCTACAGATAACCTGTAGATAATTGACGTGCTCATTATACAATAGATATTTTTATGGCTACAAAAATTAAGTTCGCCGAAACCACTACCTGTTTTGTTATATAATTATGATCATTTCGCCGAACCAGTAGTTCGACGAAACCACTCTCACCCAGTACAGATAATTGTTAAGGTAGTGTTGTGCATGTATTTTGTGCATTGGCATCTGTATCTGTGAGGGTACGTCGTAGTAACCAAAATCTGGCTTTAACACGACGGTGGATTATTATTGGCAATATGTCTTCTAGATACTTAGCAAGAACAAAAGTATCTGAGTATCTATCTTTGGCACGTCAAAACATTTCGACTATTATTTCGTCTGCTAATATTTTATCCGAATTTTCAAATATCCGAACCGATGACATATTGTACGATTACTATACATGTATCAGCTTCTAAAATAATATACCTTGGCCGGTGTTAGGTGGTTGAAAAGCCATTTACCAAACAAACAATCTAAAATCTCTATCAATACATATCAATGAGATTTAATAACGTGTCCGAAACTTTCGCGATGCTAAAATTTAATTTTAACGGTTGAACGCCACTAAACAATCTGTTTCTGTATGTGTAACACTGCTAAATATTTTCTTTCTCCGTGTGCCTTAAATATTTTTTATGTGCTAGTGGCATTGATTTGACCTAAAATGTGTTTAACCTTGTTATTTATGCAATAAAATATCCATATATTAAAAAATAAAAACTCATTTAAGGTCAAATAAATGCAACTACAGTAGCACCTTTGGTTAGAGCACGAATTATATTGGAATTAAGATCCGAGGTTTGAGTATGAACAAATAAATATCTTAAACATTATTCTTTTGTGTTCATTTAAGTTCAACATGTAATACTCTAATTTGGTATTCTAACACTATCGAAAATTTTCCTATATAGAGGATAATGAATGAGTGTAAGTTCAATGCTGAATTTATTGCCCGAGTTGAATGAAATTATATTATGCAAGCCTCTGGCGAGCATAATATTATTTTATTCAACGAGTGCAATAAATTCAGTAATGAACTTACACGAATTTAATATTTCATTTATCACATAAAGTGAAATAAGAGTCAATTTTCATTGACGCACCTATAGTATATCGCTAACTTTTAGCGCGTCTTTACACTTTGTTTGTATACCGCTTATGACGTAACGTCAAAATATATGCACGGTCGTGCAATACCATATTTACGGAGTCGCAAAATCGGCACGGGTGTGTGATAAGTAGACAAAGAAGGCCGGAAGCGTGCATTACTCTACAACAATGCACTCGCCGTTCTTTTTACCTCCCTGTGTATTTTCAAGCCGACATATTGACGGCGCCATTTTGTTTGAAAAAAATCTGATGAATAAAAAACATTTTTTGTCGAATTTTGTTGTTAAACTATATAGAATGAAAGGAAATGGTCTAACTAAGAAAATGAATCCGAACAACAATATCTTTAATTCAGTCGTTAACGCTGTAGAGACGTTTAAAGTGTTGTTTACGTGACGTCACAATGTAGCGTCAAACAGCACGTGCAAAAACAATCAAATCAAGAACACTATTTCTTTGTCGCAAACGTGTTAGATTTCACATTTTTTTGACTGTTAATACTTTGTATTTCGCTTAAAAAATATAGAGTGAAATTAAATAAACAAAGTTTATCAACGTTTTCAAAATTCGTTATTCTCAAAATGTTTCTACACATGGTAGATTTAACGACAGTTTTTTCAACCCATTGGAACAGCCTTGAAAGAACGTTTCTATTGGAAACTCTGAGGCGACAACAAATTTAACCACCAAACAAAAAATCCAGCTTTATAATAATCATTGTATTTCTTCTTGACGTGTTAGAATGGAAATAGATATTAATTCTTCGTGCATTATATTATAATAATGCACGTTTTTTTGGTTCAAATGCTTTGTAATTAATCACTCAGGCATATCGGCCTTCTTGATTATATTACTACGCATTTGAACTCAAACTGTGCATTATTCTACAACCATGCACTCAGAATTGATATCTACATGTATTTCCTAATTTTCAGATCTTTAAAATACAACTTATACACAAAAAATCAATTATTTGGGTTTTGATTGTCTACTCCGCCCATTCGCTGATGCTTCAGGTAATTACAAGACCCGTAGTGTTATGAAGCTAAATGACTTACACTTTTTGGTTATTCTTTTTTAAGGATTTCTATTGTTTTGTATTAAAGGGAATTTTAAGAATTCGCAGCTGACTACTTATTTTTTACTATTTACTGTTTTGTATATAGAGGATATTTCTTTGTTCTGCATGTAAGATTGAACTATATTTCACTGAGCTAACACCGGATACAATATTTTCACGAGTGGCGTAGCCACAAGTGAAAATGCAATAGCTGATGTTCACGAATGAAATATTTTTCAATCTTATATGTAAAACAAATAAATTTTCTTTTTATTTCCGTTTGTGACGTCATCACATAATGACGTGACATCATCAATTTTGAAATATAGTTCTGTTAAATTTCTCTTGTTTTGTTACATTTTTAACATGATGTATGATGACATCGACTTTATTTTCCCATTTTCTTTTCATCCCCATTCAGGTATAGTCCAGCTACAGTGAAAATTATATGTTATGATTTTCACTAGTGGTTTATCAGAATATAATCATCTGATATATAACAGTAAAACACTGGAAATCATGAAATAAATACATTGTATTTATCTTTAATATCCTAGGACAGCACGGTAACAAACATGTATTGTGTTGGCTCATTTTACCGATCCCCGTCCAATGAAGACCCTGAAATGATTAACATCTTGCATGAATCAGTTTCAAAACTTACAACGAAAGACATAATGTTACCAAATATTGTATTGAATACTTGACATTCTGTGGGATTATCTAACTTTGCGAAATCCCCGAAAATATTCTAAACAACTGAGTGAAAATATGATTCACTTTGTAAATGCCAATTTCTTAACACAAATGACTGACCAACCCACCAGAATTAAAAACATTGTACTTGATGGGTCAACCGACTCGCCAGTGATATTAGAAGTTCTACAGGCATAGTATTAGGTCCTTTGGTGTTTTTGTTGTACATGAATGACATAGCAGATAAGTTGTCACCAAAAACAACCAACAATCCAATTGCTTGCTGAGGACTTAAATTTGAACTCAAATGGAAAACCGAAAAACACCACACAGGAAAGCAAATAAGGTACTAACTCTTTCCAGGCACCTCTTTCTGCACTTAAAATGAATATGTGAAGAAGAAAGCATTACCATTGATTGTTCTACCTCATCTGGATCATAAGTTACGGACCCAACTTAAGCAAGCATCACTACGCTTGAGAAAATACAGCGCCGAGGAGCCGCGTTTCATATTTTATGACTGGTAAATATTCCTACAAGGAGTGTGTATCAGTAACGTTGAAGGATCTTAATATCTGGCCGCTATTGCAACAATGCAGAAAAAGCAAGAGATTCCATCATATGACATCCGTCCTATCGGTCGTGTAAATCGAAATTACCACCAGTCATTTTTTTAAAATTAGAGTCAACTACATGTATAAACAATATCAAAATACATGTAGTTTTCTACCATGTACTCTGCATTTCCACCTCTCCTAGTAACGAAATCTGTGGACGCGACTATAGAAACCCTAGGCACCATAATGTTTTTATCATCTTTGAAATTGTGCATAAGCTCTCTTAGGAGTTTTTTTTAACAATTGTGATGACGTCAATCGCCCGAGATACTTTACTTTTGGCCGTACAGAATTAGAAAAAAGTAGATGTCTTTACTTGACTCATATCGGACCCCTGATTGAATGTTTTTATACGATTTGTATCTATAGAGTCACAGGAAGGAAAGAAAATTTATAATGGTCAGAAGTTAGTGTAAATAATCGATAGAAAATGCAAATGTCTTGTAAGGAAAGCAAAAATGCAAATGTTTAATATATTAAATTTATTATACATGTGCGAAATTCCAATTATATTAACGTAGATGTGCACAAGTGTGTTGGTGATGGTTACACCACAGGGTAGTGATATGCGTCTAGTACTGCAAGGATCGAACGTGTCTAGATCTTTGTTGTCGCTGGCTAGTCTACTTGTAGGTGAAAGGGAGAGTCGAATGCGTAAATCTTTCCTGCCAGTACATAGTCTCTACACTACCAAGACTCCTTCAATGCCTCCTCGTGGAAATACAAGGTAACTGAGGCTTAGTGTCTCAGGCTAAATTGAAGTAGATCTCGGAGCAGAAAGGGCCCCAGAGATGCAGTGGGTAGGCCCCCGGCGTGTGTATATGCCCTAGCATTCATCATCCTTACCTCAACTATGGGTCAAATAGCCTCACTTGCTGTGTGGGTGACTTGGGAAAGTCAAAAGCTATGGAAGAAAATCCAAACAGAAAATCTGGGGAGATGGACCTCACCGTTGTGTAAACTACATCCGTCTAAGGGAAGGACAGCCCTGAAAGAAAACCCGGCTTAACCGTGCGAAGGTTAGGCGTGGTGCCTGTAAAAACAACTTTAGCTACGGAAACTACAAACCAGACACAAACCGAATAATTTATCAAGTTCAGCCTTATGTGCCACCTGGCATGAAGAGGATAGGTAGGTAGGAAGGTAGGTAGATAGATATGCACAAGACATTACACGTGAAGTTGATATTTAACAACATTATTTTTTGTTGAGATTAGTGTTGTATTATGCCATTTCAGCATTCCTGTCCATTGCAGACCTTTCAGCACTTTGGTGAAAAAACACAACTTAATGGGCTATCCTAGGGTAACATAAAACATACTAATTAGTTAATTTTATAATTATTTTGATGCATTTTTGTGTATGTGTTTTTTTCATATATATGCAAGTTGATATATGTGATTCTATTGTATGTGTTAATATGTATATTCCCTGAATAAATCGAGATGATAACCTCCCTAAATTGAAAGCAATGATAAAATATGACAAGTAAAAAGTTTAAAACACTATTCTGTCAAAAAAATGTAAAAACTATATTGTTTGGATAAACGCCTTCAGAAAGTAAACGTATCTCGACAAAGTCTGTCTTTTAATTTATGGAAAAAAAGACCACAAAAGCACCTCAGTATAGTCCATGCAGTCGGGCCTCACTATTACCTCCCCTTGCTACTCTTCCTATGTTTACTTCTACAGCGACAGAAAACGGGAAATATTCAAGTCGAAATTGCTGCGGGTTGGAAGCGTGTGTGAATGTTTGAAGGCTTCATTTCCATGCCAATCGTTTTTTATTTATTTACAAGAAAGGTAAATTTGTTATTTACGAGTTGACACGTTTTGAAAGTAACAAGAAACTAGAAACACCAATTCGTACTGCAGTCGTTTCGTACTCACTGATAGTATACTGTTGACAAAAAATTAGAATATATCTATGACATCGGCTTAAATAAAAAATGCATACAATCATTATGGAATTCTATGAAATTTGGTGTAAATTGCATTGATGAATTGTGGATATTGCCAATATTGTTCTTTAAAATGCTCATCTCTTCCCTTTCATTCACAGACAATTGGGGTTATGTGCGCGGGTCCCCTTCTGGATCCGCACTTGTATACACCATGTCTATTTTGATTGTGCAAACCGTACGTCAAAATATTTTTGCATATTATTTCGACCTGGTCACATGTCTTGAACATAAAACTTGTTTTCGGCTATTTTAACAACATTTAAAAAAGTCCCTAAAATATCATAATTTCATAAAGATAACAACGTATGCTTTCCTTTGATGTGAGATGACTGGAATGAGTTTCGGCGATGTTTTGCGCTTTCATTTATGCCGAGAACCAAAATCCCTGCAGCGGCTACTTCCCCCAATCAGTACAGAAACCAAATCATGAAGACTGACGGAAAGGGCTGAGTAGTTGCGATTGAATTTCTTTTTCCCAGCGATTTTTCCGCTGTAATTTATGGGAAACATTCCAGTCGTCATGAATTCGTAAAAAAAGCATGTGACACGGTATGTAAATTACATAAATGTAAATTAAATGTGCAAAGCTTGGAAGAAAGGTACAATCGGATAATAACATGCATTTATTTATTAAAAGAATACATGCATCAACTGATTTACACCAGAAATAAATCGCATGCAATAACATAAATATTTGAAATATATGTAGGTCAGTTGTGTTTGCATTTCGAAGCTTGGTATCTTCAGGAAATTGAAGCGTTGGTAAAAAATTGACTTTTTTAAAAACATTACAAAATTCTATTCAAACTTGTTCACGTGTTAGACACTTAACCGTCTCATACTAATATAAGCAAAAATTTAAAACTAATTCTTGTAATAAATAAAACTTTTAGTTTTTTATATTCAGGGGCGGAGAAGGGTAGAGTCTACACTCCAAGTGTCTATGCTTTCATTAGGTCTGTAGGTTACAGGCCAGAGGTTAATTTCTATGCAACAATTATCGTTGATACATATAGGATGGTTTCATTTAGAATTGTATAAGAAAACTTGACATTATTGGGAGGCTTTATTACAAATGACTTATGCAGTTTTTTTCAAATCTAAGTACAGTCATTGTTAGATTTTATTTGATGAACAATTTTAGGGATATGAAACTAAATCTGTATGAAATGAAACTAAAAAATATTTGAATTAGATTTAATTACCGTATATTTAAATTAGTACAGTACTGGACATGTTAAACTTGCAAAGTTCACAGTATGCGGCAACCAGAACTACAGCAGTCAGCACAAATTGTTTTATAAATCATTTCGTGATAAGCATCGAAAGACTCACAGAAAATGCGATAAATATTAATTATAATAAAATGATGTTCTGGCGTGAAAATTTATTAAAATTATATTGCTAAAGAACATAAGTTTTTAAGTTTCTAATGCTTAAACATTGAAAGAAAATCAAGAACAATAAGAGAAAATATGAAATACTTGTGAAATAGACGACTGTTTGAAACACAAAAGATCTGAAGATTTGCATATAAAAAAATCCTGAAAAAAACCCAGTGATCTTTAGGCAAACCCTATGTTTTTATACACAATGTTCTAGACCACTGAGCTGATTCCTTAATAAAGTTGTCAGAGTTTGCAGTTACAATAATCAAGGTAGATGTCACTGATAAGTAACTGTCCTTTCCTCTGTCCTTTGCAGAAGTCTTAGATAGTCAGAAACTTTTTTTGTTTGTGATTTTATACAAAATTAAAATAAAAGGATCTAGGAATTGTGAATTCACTCATAGTATCACTGTGACCTAATGACCTCAGTCAATAGGGACTTCTACTGGCCATAGGCAAAACCCTTCTAAGTAAAACAAGCTTAGCTAATGCATTCTCCAAACAAGAATTAAGCAGTTAAGGTTGTGGGAATTTTGACCATGGAATAATTCACCACAAAATCAATAGAGTCCATTCTACTAGTCATGACCAACCTCCACACCAAATTTTAAGACCGAAGGCTTTAGCATTCCTTAGATATTGATGACCAAAAGTGACCTAATTTATAACAAGCACTTGTATTGTTGCTGCAAATTCATAGAAATAGCAATGTCATCTTACGACAATGTCACTGATATATAAATTTACATTGTCATTCTAGGATAACTGTTACATCTCTTGAACTAGAGAAAATTATGTCTTCTACGGAATATAAGATATCAGGTTACCTTTTACAACTTGCCTTCTTGTTTAATTTTATCAATAGATTTACCAATATCTTAATTGTTATTTTAAAAGGAACTTACAGGTTTAATGGTTGGCTAATGATGTTAGACTTTTACCTCGCTTAATTTATGAAATGGATTTGTTGTATTTTTAGAATATTTCCAATGTTAATGCAAGAGACTTTAAGATTTTAAGAACTTAATTCTTAAAAGGCTAGAAACTGGCCAGACTGAAAATAAATGGATATACATGTCTGCCTACATTGTAGTTCTATAATAGTGGTATTGACAAATAAATAGTCATAGTGCTCAAATGACTGTGCTTTATCAAGACCATTGAGAAATCAATTAAGTGTAAATATTATCTAATGTATTGTTGTTGTTTTTTTGAAGTACAGTATTTCTAGAAGCATTAAAATCAGTATTCCAGTATCTTATTTAAGCAATGGTGAAAGTTGTCTTTTAAACTTATTGCGAGTGGGAAAATCAAACTGAGGTGTTGGGTTTTGTTATTTTTGTTTGTTTGTTTCATTTTACGCCTTATCCCAACAGGGTAGTTTCCTAACCATCATTCCTGGAGAGTTACACCAGTACTTGACTACCTTCCTCTGTGCTAAACTACCAAAGCATCTCCCGGGGATCGAACCCACGCCAGAGAGGTAACTGGATTAGAAGTCATCGACTCTAACCCCTCGACCACAGAGGCGGTGTTAGGTAATGAACCGTAATGCAAAAATGTAATTGTGATTTGTGGAATGTTACCTTGATATCTGTAAGCAACTTAACCTTGATATCACTGGATATTTTTTCCTTCATATTTGTGTGCATTTTACCTTGAAATATGTGAGCAACTTTACCTTGATATCTGATAGCAACTTTACTTTTGTATCTGTGAGAAATTTTACCTTGGTATCTTAGACCAACTTTACCTTGATATCTGTGAACAATTTTACCTTGATATCTGTTAGTAACTTTTGCATGATATCTATTGGCAGCTTTACTTTTGTATCTGTGAGCACCTTTACCTTGATATATGTGAGCAACTTTACCTTGATATCTGTGAGCAACTTTACCTTGTTATCTGTGAGCAACTTTACCTTGTTATCTGTGAGCAACTTTACCTTGATATCTGTGAGCAACTTTACCTTGATATCTGTGAGCAACATTACCTTGATATCTGTTCACAAGTTTACCTTGAAATCTGTGAGCAACTTTACCTTGTTATCTGTGAACAACATTACCTTGATATCTGTTCACAACTTTACCTCGTTATCTGTTAGCAACTTTACCTTGATAAATGTGAGCAACTTTACCTTGATACCTGTGAGCAATATTACCTTGATATCTGTGAGCAACTTTACTTTGATATTTGTGATCAACTTTACCTTGATATCTGTGAGCACCATTACCTTGTTGTCTTTCACCAACTTTACCTTAATATCTGTTAGCAACTTTACCTTGTTATCTGTTAGCAACATTACCTTGGTACCTGTGACCAACTTTACCTTGATATCTGTGAGCAACTTTACCTTGTTATCTGTTAGCAACTTTACCTTGGTATCTTTGATCAACTTAAACTTTACCTTGATATCTATGAACAACATTACCTTGTTATCTGTTAGCAACTTTACCTTGGTATCTTTGATCAACTTAAACTTTACCTTGATATCTGTGAGCAACTTTACCTTGTTATCTGTTAGCAACTTAACCTTGGTATCTTTGATCAACTTAAACTTTACCTTGATATCTGTAAGCAACAATTCCTTGGTATATGTGACAAACTTTACTTTGATATCACTTGGCAATGTGACTTTGATGTTTGTTAGAAATTTAACCATGAAATTTGTGAGCAACTTTTATTTGAATGTAAGCAACATTACCTTGACATTTGTGAGCAACTTGACCTTTATATCTTTGACCAACTTTACTTTGATATCTTTGACCAACTTAACCATGATATCTTTAACCAACTTAACCTTGATATATGTTTGCAACTTTACCTTGATATCTGTGAGCAACAACAACATTTAAGCAAGTTTACCTAGATATTTAAGTGCATCCTTTTACTTGATATTGACCATGATCAAAAGTCTCTTTTCCAGACTGTAGATTTACATTTCTTTGAAAAAAGTTGTTGAAAACCTCAAGTTAACTTATTGACTCCAAGGAGGTAAAAAAATTGATATTGGTTTTGAGAAGACTTTGTTTTGACTTTGTTTGCCTTCTCCCAAGCTGTCTGACCTTTGACATCACACCTGTGTTATATATATTTGTCTTCGGCAAGTCACAGCACAGATGCGCTTTGAAAATCTGAAATGACAAAATAACATATTGTGTACATCTTATTGTAAATTTTGTCTTCCATTGAACTTAACATGGTGAAATTAATTTCATGCGAACGTTTTTTAAATAACTTTTTTGTACCATATTTTAGCACACTTTGATGGCTTTGACGATGAATTGTATTATTTCTCAAACAAAACTATCGCCAATTAGACTTTCCTTGCTCGAGACTGAGTAGAAAGAAAGTTTTTGTGTTCATTCAACTCCGTATTTATTTATCGGGAATTACCATATAATATGAAGTGTCACTCACGAGAAAATTAAACGGTACATGATCTTTTATA